TCTCGCACAGTTCGGGCACGGAACCGAATCAGCCGCAACCACGAGGCTCAGTCCCAGGCTTCGCAAGCAGGGAAACATCTGTCTTAGTTTTAGCCTGCGCCGAGATTCGGTGGCAATTCCCGAGCTCCTGATAACCCGTCAAGAGCTCAGGGGTTCCATATTAATGCGTCTTTGACCTTGGACATTGTGGTTTGCCGATCGCGTAAAACTTCGTGGGTACTGAGGAAGCGATTGGTTTTGCCCTGATTTGATGGCCAAGGAGAATACCGCACTCACTTGCCGGTCCATCGCAAAATCTTCTCTTTTCGTAGAGGCCTCCTGCCGAGAGACGCTATGATACATGATGATAATATTACCACGGAGTGGCCGCCGTAAGTCCGTCATTGAGGTGACTCGGAATATTGCAAACGTCTTTGGAAACAAGAAAAGTCAATCTGAAGCAAAGCTGGCTGAATTGTGATAGCGTACAAGCGCAATGGTAAAGATATAAACTGAGTGGAGCTTTGTTCCGTTTCTTAGGAGACTCTAGAGAATGAGACAACTCCCCAAGCGCCGGGTACATTTACCGCAGTCCACGTCATTACAACTCATGTAATTGGGGTAGTACAATGGCCTACTTGCCCGACCTCTAAAGCGAAGGCGGGTCTGGGTTCTCAAGGCCGGTGTAGACTGAGAGCCCTCCTTACCGTCAAGGTCTGTAATCAAGGATGGACGGGTGCCTGAACTTAATATGAAATTTTGCTTGAGGGTCAGGTTGCAAACACGTTGCACTCGCGGCATATGATATTAGCTGGAGTGAGTTAAATGTAATTGTGGAACGTAGCACTCCAAGAATCCTTCAAAGAAGCTGATTCGGTCTGTGTGACATGGCAACCCTATCTCAATCCGTAATAAAACCGCGGAAATTCGTAACTCCCAGAACCTAAAAATCCCATGTCCTTCGATTATCAAAAGACGACTGCGGGCGCCTCCTTTTTCAGCCCAACATCACTCATGATATCCTTGTCACACGGCGACGGTGGACACTCTTCAATATCCTCGTCCAGCTTCGTGTCATCCAATATCTCGGGATTGAAACACCGAGAACCCTTTGGAATGAAAGTCGACGCAAACACCGTGACCATAATGACAGTGAAGTGCACCCCAGCAGTGTTCACCAGCGCCTCTCGCACTGATCCTGTTCGATTGTAGACGCCATCGAGGTATCTCCCGAGGAAGGTACCGGCAATCGCATACGTGACAATGTAGAAAGAGTACAAGAACGCCATGACCGCACCGAGAGGCGAAACCCTGTTCTCCTTGTCCTCTAGTCGGGCGAGAGAAGCCTGGATAAAAGCGGCCAGAGAGACATCTCCCGCGGCCCAGCCGAACGAAACTGGCAAAAATGTGGCGGCGACGATCCAGGCTTGGCCGACTTGTCCCGAGGGAGGATACCAGTAGGGGATGTACCAAACAATGAGCAACATCAAGGCATCAAGGCGAAGCCACGGGATGGGCGTCTTGATCACATTTGTGAACAGGAAGACGAACAGCGCACCCAGGAGCTCACCAAAATTGGAGCCACCAACCATGATCTGTGACCATGCCGAGTTGCCCAGGTACCGTCGAGCAACCTGGGGGGCGATGCCATTTTCGAGATATCGGTGTCCGTAGAGGGCGATGCCGTATGCCGGGACGAGCCAGACAAATTTCGCCGACGTGAACAAAATCTTTGCGCCGACCCAAATGGACTCGAAGAAGAGGAGGAAGCCCTTGCCAATGTTGACAAAGTAGTTGCTTTTGCGGGCTTCCGCTCGAGCAAGAGCGTTGCGATCGTGACTGCCGTCCACGACAAAGAACCATAGAATCGCGGCGAGGGAGAAGCAGATTGGGGTGATGACAAATGAGCGGTTATTACCAAGGTTGGGAATGAGGACCAGCGCGGTGACGAAGGCGCCTGATGTACCGGCAACCTCGTAGAAGATGTGTACCAGGCTGTCCATTTGACGAAGTTTCTGCACGTTACCTCCGACAATATCTCGCGGGATAACGCGGCGAATGAGTTCGACCATGCCGTACGCGATACCGGTGACCGTGTAGATGGGTATGATGGCGTCATTGTTGTAGTCTCCGTAGTAAGACCACTCGTCTTTGGGGTGCTTCTTACGGTACGCTTCCGGAACAAAAGTACCTCCCGTCGCAGCATCAAGGATGAGCAAGATTGCCGTCATTAGGCCAAAGAGGAGGATCGCTGCCGAGAGAACATTCTTCGTTGGGTAGTGTTTGATAAGAGGTGCAATGAGGATTGAACCGACACACTGCGTAGCTTGATTCAGCCCCTGGAGGAGACCGAGTCGTTCAAAAGTGCGAGAAGGCGTGCCCCTGGTGTCACTTTCGTAGTCGTAACGGTTGGTGGCGAGCGCGGTGATAGACCCATTGAACGCCTCGAGACCGAATTTGTACAGCATGATGCCGCAGATGTAGAAGAGTATGGCTCTTCTTTCCTTTGGGCTGAAAGACTTGATCCTCCCAACGAAGTCTTTGAGAATTGCCATGACGGGCTGCTTGCGGATGTACGCTTGGATCTTTCTCTATTCAAATGATCTTCTTGAAATGGATTTTAGTGGATAGACCGAAGTAAAGAGGCAGATGGCATGAGAACAGGGAGTAGGCTGGGGGGTTTGCCTTTGCTTGCTAGGATGCAAGGTGCAAGTTGAACCAAAGAAATCTTACACAGGCAAATATGAAAGAAGCCCGGTATTTTGTATTATAGTTGTTTCAAACACTTAGATAGACAGTTCACCCGGCTATTAAACCTACCTCAGATATGCGGCGAGATAAAGCACTCGCGCAGCCAAACAGAGATGTCGAATAGCAAGCGCACATACCGTCCACGTGGGCCTGGTTGATGGACCACCTTGTTGCCCATCATGGGTGGTAATTCTTGGCCATAGACCTCGAGGTCGGCTTTTCTTAGGAAGGGCCGAAGACTAGGGTTCTTCGGTTCATGGAGTTGGAGTGCTATTGGAGAACCTTGGCGTCTAGATTCGAAGGAATATAGGGTAGCGGTAACGGCCGCATACCTCCACATTTTTCTATACATCTGGTCCTCTTCGCAAGATAGTCAAGTACTCTCAGGATGTGCCGAACGTATCTTGAAAATGTTACCTCAATACCTTCTCCAGCTATGACCACCTGGTACCTGCGAATTGGGGTACAACTTACCAATTGTTCTGTGTATCTGAATGCCTCAAGCGACCTGAGGACCTGATCCCATTATACCATCTGAATTCACGGGATTGAAAGGATAGAAGAAGCGGCTTTCATAGCGCCAAGCCTCTCGCGTCTTGTTTCTCTATCGACTGCTCCAGCCAAGGCAAAGCTCCGATAGCTTATTCGAAGCCGTTCTCGATGAAGAATGGTCCACGGTGTTCGGTAATGAATACGGCTTGGGCTCAAAACCAGTCCGGGTCTTGACGTCAAAGCTAATCATCGTGATTGGACGTGACAGAGAGTATCGTTGAACTTGGGTGGGAGGCTGTGCTCGATGTAGCGACGCGGCCGATTGACGATCGCCACATCCCAAATTGTGTAGCTGTCAACGAATTTTGCCGTCTTCTGTGCTTGCTGCTGTGGTGATGCTGACCATGTCTTGGCAGTGGTTGTGCTCTTGGCAGACGAGGGCGAGGACTGCGCCTTCTTATGCTTCCCATTTGGCTTGGCGGCCGGGAGGGTAAATGGCGCAGGCAAAGTTTGGAAGATGAGAGCCAACCATTTAAACACATGGTTTGTCCTGGTTTTTGTTTTATCCGTCAAATGTCTCGAGAAAATGTTCCTAAGTTTGCTGCTGCACAAGAGACGAGTAGAATGCCGATGCCAGTCAAACCTTCTAATAACGCCAAGATATTGGTTGCCTCCCTCAACTGCTTTGTCATCCATCTTATTTTTACTGGAGAAAATCGCTGCAACGGAAAACATGCTTGATGGATTTGAATTGGCGAAGGATCTCATCAAGTTGGGTTGGAGACGGCGCACACATGCCAGGTCTTGAATCGAGGAGTGGGTTGGAACAGCCCGAGCATGCTTACAGAATCCTGCGGCGTGCGCCGGTCTCCACAGGTAACGGACGGCGCGGCGCATGTGGGGCCGCTCGATAGAATCCGGAGCTTCAACCTCAGGTACTCGGGCTTGAGGGCCTCATAGCAATAGAGGCGTCAACCAAGTTTTCCTGCAAACCCGAGGCAATATGTTTCAAGACTTTGAAAGATTCCAGGAGACATTACTCCATCAAGCTTCAGAGTTGTGCAAACGATATGTCAGTTAACTTTCAGATCTAGTAAGCTGCTTCTTGGTAGCGTCGCTATCACGATCCCTTGGCATTTCAAACAGCTCGATTCAACAGGAAATTCGCCATAATATAGCCTCTCGGAGCAACTGGGATCATAACATTCAGGAAATAACTACGAAAAATATGAGCTGCCTGTGGCATTATGTAGGACCACCAATTTTTGTGAGTACAATCGTACTCGAACTCGCTACCCTTGCGGGACCCACTATGCGAAACCATCCACCACTAGGTCATATACACATTCAGACGGTGCTCATGTCTTCCTTCAGACTTCTCTGCCTCATAGATCTTTGCAGTCAGCGGTGGGTGCCATGCGTATTCCATCGAGCTAGGGTGCTTGCCTCAGTAAACTGAAAATCACAACCTGACCTTGCCTGGGGATCATCGACAGCAAATGTCACGTAAACGGGTTGCCTGCCGGGAACTTGGGCATGTGTATGAGCTGGTACAGGTCGGAATGATGCACTGCCTGGAATACAACGGCATTAGAATGTCAATCGTAATTGGAATGCTGCAGTGGAGTCCGTTATTCCGATACAGACTGCTAGGATCACTGAGATTCAATAATCCGCAAGGCACTAGAGGTATGAGATGTTCAACGTCTTCTCTATGTCTTGCGATTTCATGAGCCTGTACGACTGCTTATAGACAGCGTAACTCTAGTATAAGAAGTTCAGTGAGTACACATCAACGGCGCAAACCCATCAGTCCACTTCTCAGCACCCATGATGATAACCATCACCGCAAATCCCGCCACAACACTACCCAGGCCGTACACATAAGCATGTCGTCGCCGCAGCGCAGTCAACTCTGCAACCCACGTCGAGACAGTCGTCAAGCACCCGCAGAACCCATCCTCGACGCCTTGCAATACCTGACACCCAACCACGCCTCCAAGCCCCGCGTGCGCCAGGTCCCAGCACATACCCAGCACGGCAACGCCAGCAATATTAACCGCAAAGGTACCCATCGGGAACGCCGGCACTCGCGCGTTGAGCAGCAAGCTGGCGTAAAAGCGCGCGAGGCAGCCGAGCGGCGCAAAGACGATGGAGAAGATGACGCGCCCTCGCCAGGCGTCGCGGGGCGGCCAGATGGCGAGGAGGACAGCGCCAAGCCAGGCGCCCCAGCCGAAGAGGACGGCGCAGCGGTCCATGACTTTGCGGCCGAGGAGGAAAGGGATCGACGGGGTGATTCCTTCAAGAGCGATAGCGAGGTGCGCACCGAAGATGAGGGCCGAGAGGCTCAGAGCTACGGTAGCAATGATGATGGCCATCATCGCCATGAAAGACTGCCCTCCAGTCCGCGGCTCGGGTGTCGCTCCGCCGGCGCGGGGGAGGTCGTTGACCATGGCGAGGAAGACGTCGCGGATGAAGGAAGAGAAGGAGGTGAAGGAGCCGCAGAAGCCCGTCGAGAGGCCAATGTAGAGCGGTATGGTCTTCTTGGTTGCGAGGTGCGCCTTCTTCGCGGCCGCGAGGTCGCTAGAAGCGGCGCTGTCGTCTGCGCGCTGTCCGCGGCGCCGGGCTTTGGTGATCTCCCTATGGTAGTTGGGTGTACCCCATTCCTGCTTGAAGAGCTTGCGGTCTTCGATCAGGAAGCCCATGACCAGGCTGCCGCCGACGTTGGCCCACAGCACGCCAAAGGAGACTGGGGCGCCGGGGTAAAGCGTCAGAGCCTGCAAGCCCAGACGGGCAATCGTGCCGAAGATGGCGAAGAAGACGAGGTATGAGAGTGTATACACCTCCGTCGCCAACCTAGAGACGTGGACGGTGGGTTTCGAGGTTGTGGTTCCGGGCTCGTCTTGGTCGTCGGGCGTTGTTGTGTCTTGCATCTCGAGATCGGAGGGCTGCCGAGGCGATCGCATCTCCTCCAGGCTTTCGCCTCTTCCCGAAGAATGCCGCCTGGGTTTATGCGCGACGGGGTCGGTGACCATCTCGTCCAGGTTGCCGTAGTCTCCTGGTGCATCGTATTCGCACGACTGTCTCCCCTCCAGACTCTTCTTGCCCTCTCTCGTGCGATTCTTGCTGAGATTGTGGACATCGGCGTCGGCGATTGTGCCCTTGGAGTCGTCCCGCGCTTTGGAAGCGTCATAGGCGGCGGATCGCATCTCCTCCAGACTCTCGCCTTTCCCGTCACGGCTCCTACTCTCGCCACGAGAGATTGGGTCCGTCACCATCTCGTCGAGGTTGCCATAGTCTTCAGGCGCATCGTATCCGGCCAATTGCCCGCGTTGTGTATTCTTGCTTTTTGCATGAGCCTGCCCGTTGATAGTGCCCATCTGCGTGATATCTTTCTCATCCGCGGCAGCGCCGCTGGCGTGCCTCAGTTCGTTTCCGCCTTGCATCGCGAGTTCCGTCCTTAAATCTCGTTGTCGGCGCGTTTCGATTCATGACCGGATCTCGTATGGACTTGTTCGGTATTTGAATCGCGCGGCTTTTTCGAAAATCGAAAGATTCTAGGGTCGTGGAAATTCCGGGTAATCGGCAATATCGTCAACAGAAAAAAAGAAGGTTGATCAGTAGTCGCGTCACTAAACGATGCCACAAAAACGCCTGCTGTAGCGGGAACGTCATTCCCTGACAACCTTGTTCTTGGCGGCAGAGGCGGATATCTCGGTACTCCCGGTTTCGCTCACCTCACACCGCTCACCTAGGGCCCGAGCTCCTTGGTGGGGTCATCTTCACCGAGGAAAGGCGGAGTACACCGAGACGGTGACATTCCACGTCGATAAGGTAAGTCAGTGCGAGGGAGGGATGGAGGGGGCCCAACATCCCAAGCTAAACAGCTTCAGGCAGGACGACAGGTAAAAGGACAACAAGTCGAGAAGAAGACGTTACTAATAACTTCTCCATCTCCACCCCCCTATATCTCGTCACCCATGCATTGCCAGCTATCTACAAAGGACAAGGCTCCAACTAAAACATGTACGACGGCGACCTCCGACGCGTTGCCGGACGCCGGAGTTGACCTGGTGGCAGTCCTCAATTGCTCCAAAAAAGGGCGGGCGTTGGGCGTCGGACCTCAAGGGCTTATCTTATCCAGAGCTTCCCTCCGCATGCAGGACCCACTCAAGGTACCGGCGCTGATCAGGAGGACAAGGAAGGACCCCTCCTCCTCCTCCTACTGCCTGCTGGTCTCAGTGGCTTGCTCCGGCCTCCCCACCAACCTCTCTGGTCGATATCGACGGTAAACTCCCAATCCTTATTTTCCTTAAATTTGATGATTCATCCCTAACTTTCTTTCATCTGGTCACCGTTCAATGCTTCAGCGTATTCGTGTTTAATTCCATACTTACGTTTCTACATACCCCCATTTACACCATGTCTTCCTCAACACCCGAGCTCCCCGCCAATGTGCATGTCTCCCAGCACCCCTGTCTCCGTGCGAAGCTGTCCCAATTGCGGTCCCAGTCGACACCCGCGAAGGAGGTCAAGACGCTAGTGAATGATATTGCGTTGATGGTGGCATACGAGGCCCTCGGTGCCTCCACAAAAGCGACAGATGGATCAAAGGTAACTAACCCTTCCTTTCAAAGCTGTTTTGTGTTACAATCAACCACCAGGACTGACAACCCTCGCTCAGGATTCTACCCCGCTAGGATTCGACTTCACATCAACCACAATCTCCCCCTCCAGCCTCTGCCTCGTCCCCATTCTGCGATCAGGTCTCGGCATGGTAGAAGGTAAACACCCGGATTCAATACCTTACTTGCTTTGTCCAGACAATAGTCCCAAGCTAATACACCAACTCCAGCCGTCCAAACCATCCTCCCCACGCCCGTAGCAGTCCACCACCTAGGTCTCTACCGCGAACCCTCGACCCTCGAGCCCGTAGAATACTACAACAACCTCCCCAACCACATCTCCCCCGACGGCTCCAACGCCGGTGCCTCCGAGCTCGCCATCGTCCTCGACCCCGTCATCGCCACAGGCGGAACCTGCGCCGCCGCTATCCAGACTCTCCGCGAGTGGGGCGTCAAGCGCATCGTCGTCCTCTCTGTCATTGGCGCCGCCGCGGGCGTCAAGCGCGCTGCCGGCGAGTGGGCCGACGCGACGGATATCTACATTGCTGGTGTGGACGCCGAGTTGACGGACAAGGGCATGCTGAAGCCTGGTGTCGGTGATGTTGGTGATCGATTGTTCCTTACTATTGGAAAATAAAACAAAAGGGGGGCTGCTTCCTGCTACTAAAGACGAAAAGGGTTACGCGGCGCGAGTGGTTTGGCTTGCTTCACTGAGCCTTGGATATCAGATCACCTCATAGATAGGTCATGTCACCTCACAGAAGAGGGTTTTTGAATGTTGGAATCGAAACTAAAGTGTCATTTATCCTGGGTATAATAAGCAATTCATCCACCGTCGGATCCAATACCGTCGTTCCTATCACACTCGCGTATACTTCTCCTCGTCCAGCAGTGTCTTCTCTCGCCAACAATCTTCAATCCATCTCGCAGTCACTATGTGGGGAATCTTACGCCTCCGACTGACTTCCTCTCGTAAAGCAGCGGCCGCATCTTTCCTTCGGGTGCCAGCTCCTACCACGACCATGTGTGTAGCCTCTGTGTCGTCAACATCGCTGATGAAGCGTGCGCCGCCAAAGGTCAGATAGTTCCGAAGCTTCAACATCTTGATCTCGTCCTCGTCCCCTTCTTCAACATTGACCAGGTGAACGGCGCAACGATGGAACATTGATCCCTTCATCGGACCCACCCCTCGGCCACGTTCCTCGAGCTGATTGAGAAATTGCGTCTTGTTAAAAGGCTCCGTATCGGGCTCTTTCTTCGGCATCATGTTGAGGACTTCGCGCAGCTCGACAAGACTGATGTCGCGGGCGTAGCTGTCCCCGTACATATCCGTGTTCTGCAGAACAACAGTCTTAAGAGCTACTGTCGCATGCAACAAGTGTCGCTCCTCATACGGGAGTAGCAGAGAATCGTCAGCCTGTTCGAGACAGTCTTGGATCCATTTAGGCCTGATGATGTCGACACCGCTGCCCTTTTGCCCCTCCTTGACCAGACTTGCGACCTTGACGACGTTCTTGTCCGCCAAGAGAATCATTCCGGATTGCGGAACAGCCCGCTGAGAGACCTGGCCGCCGTTCTCCTTGATAAGGGTCTCGAGCTGAGCCTTTGTCTTCTTGAACGGCTTGAGCGACTCCGATAGGACGCAGAACTCGAGGCCCTCGAATACCTTGGACTTATCTGCCTGAAATTGCGCAGGCATATTCTCCGTCCCGGCGATGACGACCTCGCGCTTGACGCGCTTTACTGACTTGCGCTTGCGGTTCTCGACGCTCATGGTCTTTTCTTTGGCCTCCGCCTCTACCCGCCGCCGTAGGTCCAGGAACTCCTGCACGCTGAGGCCCTCGTCCCAATTCTTGTCGGTTCTCAGCTTGCGGAAACGGGGGAATCGCAGGGTGAAGCCGAGTGCGAACTGGTCCGAATTACCAATGCTCGCGGCCTTGGCCTCCACCACAACGGACTCGCTGGGTCGGATCCAAACATCTGGCTTTTCGAATTGCCGGTCGCCGCCAGCGAGCTCGATGTATTCTACTGGAGGCTTCTTCGGGTCCCACGTGGTCCACTTGCCGTCCGTGCGATGCCTGATCTCTGCATAGTCGGCCGCTGTGAAGCCGCCGCCGACCTTGAAGAAGCTGAAGCACTTCTCGGGGTTTGCACCGGCTTGAATGTGGTTTTCGCTGACACGCAGGCCACATAAGAAGCTGGAGATGGCGCCACCCCTGTGTCCAGAGCCGTAGTAACCGCCAATAACGACACAATCTAGAGACTCTCCGAACTCGGACATGTACTCCGGCTTGACTTTCAGCCAGTCGTCGTTGCGGCTGTTGAGTCTGTACATGGACCTCGGGTTCTTGAGGACCAAGCCCTCCGATGCCTCGGCGACAACTTTGCGGAGGAGCGGCTCGATGGCCTCGGGTGTCGTCGCAGACTCGTATTCGTGGATCTCCAGCCTCCTGTGAACACTCTTCACAGCCTTTTCTAGGGCACGGTGACGATCCCGCAGCGTGTACTGGGTCAGGGGCTGATCGTTCAGCAGGAGGATATCGAAGATGCGGTAGAGCGGTCGCGGCCCTGTGTTGTTGTAGGGGTTGTTCTGCTCGGCTAAAGCGGCTGTTTTGAGAGTGCCGAACGGCATGATCTTGTCGACTTCCGGGTCCCAAGTAATCATCTCCCCATCCAGGATGACATTTCGGACACCCTCGGAAAAGGCGTCTGCCAGATGGCGAGTCAGAGCTCCCTTCTCGTCTTTCAATCCGTTGCCGTACAGGTAGGTGTAGTCTTTCGCTTTGCGAGACCAGAAGCAGAAACGCAGCCCTCCCGGAACGCTTGGGTCTTCAGCCATGTGCATTTGCATGCGCTCACCGTCCAACTTTTCCTCGATCCAGAACTCGGGGTCTTCTTCTGTGGTTCGGAGGTAATCGACCATCTTCTGGAAAGAGGATGGCATCTGGAACTGCGCCAGCTGGGGTTGGAAGCATTCCATCAGAGTAACACCGGTATCCTCCTGCTCGAGACGAATCCTTGGGTCAAAAAGCTCCCAGCAGACGCGTCGGAGACTCGATGACACGCTGAACAGGGCCTCGCCGTCCGGATGCCACAAGTCAAGAAAGGTCCGCTCGGTTGCGCCGACCTTCATCTGCTTGAGCACGATGCGAATCAACCACATAAGTTCCTCCGCATTCATGCGCTCGTAGAAAATCTCAAAGACCTCTAGGTTCTCCAGCTCTCCCGTGGATGCAGCGAGTTTGTCCAGCAGCTCATTAACCTCGGCAATCGTCATGTCGCCGACTTCCGTCCGCATCGGTCGCTTGGAAAGGACCTCGAAACACCGACCCGCAAAGTCGCCAGCCAACCTCGAGAAGGTGGTTTGACCTGGCAACTTCCAGTGAAGGAGATTGTGGCCGTCTTCCGAGTTCTTATCGATCTTCATGAGCTTGACGAGGAGTTTGCCAATAGCATTCTCCTTCAGGCCGTAGACGCCGCGGTCCCGATCCTTGTCGGGTAGAATGAGCCGTAAAGCCGGATAAATGTCGTTTCCCACTTCGTTCCGCCATCTGGAAATAAAGCGCTCAATGAGGTGCCGTCTCTGTTCCTGCGGCGATGGCTTGTGTGGTCCGTGGGGGCCCTTTTTGCTGCGAGGTGGACCGCGACCGGCTGGCTGTTTCTTGTTCTCGTTCAAAGGATTGAAGAGGCTTTGGAAAAGTTCCGAAAAGCGCATCGTCTTTGAATGATTGCGTGGGCGATTTGGGTACCTGCAGCGGCGTGTGAGCTCTGACACCAAGGAGGGATAGGAAGAGGACTCACTTTTCGTTTAGTTTATCGAGTGTGGTCCCTCCCATAGCATACTGCCTCTCCTCCTCATCAATCGCCGCCGCGTCTGGCGACTTTTGTCGCTTGCGCTGGCTCATGGTGGGCAGTTCACTGCCTCAAATGGCAAGAGGATTGAGAGGCGTTGGCGACGGAGAATTGATGATGATTTGGTGGGTTGTGGGTGTCATGGAGCGGAAGTGAATATAATCAGTCGACTGTGCATAGAAGAGATTGGTGGCATCGCAACGGATCCCGTTGAGGGCCTTGAGGACTTATACCAATGTTCAATTGTGGCTTACCTGAGGCCGTTGAAGTTCAACGGTGGAGCGGTTGCCTTGGGGATGCTGCCTGAAGGGCCATGCACTAAAACGGGCCATGAAGTGGGGCAGTTATTCGGTCGAAAGACCCGCATAATTGCATCAAGAACGTGCATCAGTAAACAGGAATTCATCACTTTTGTTTCCTTCAACACGATCACCGGCATCGAAATCAGGGACACATGTTGGTTAAGAGCGAGATATTAAGCGGGATCCCTCCCTTTATTCTTGCTACTTCATGATCTACGTCAATCATATCATCTCTCGTTCCGGTATTATGTTGAGCGCATAGATCGGCACTGCCAGAGGCAATGCCATGCGTTAAAGTCGGGATGGGGCAAGCCTAGTGCTGGGGACGGCTGTTGACGGAAGAAGTGTCACTGACAGCCTTCTCGGCATCCCAGCGCTGCTGCATGGGCTCAGTAACAGCCTCCTTCTTGGCAGCCTTCTTGCGCCAGAAGAAGAATCCAGCAAGGGCGAGCAGAGAGACACCGGCGATAGAACCGACAGCGGCACCAGCGATGGCGCCCTTGGAGAGACCGGAGCTCTTGGACTCGCCGGCGGCGGTGAAGTCGGCGGCGGTGTGCGGGGTGTTGCCGCCCGAGTCGGTGGTGGTGACGTTGACGGTGGTGTCGACGTCGACGTCGGGGTCGCTGACGGTGGCGTTGAAGCAGGGGATGGAGGCGGCGAAAACCTCGACAAAGGTGACGTCGGCGCAGGCGTAGTAGGTCTCGCGCTTGGACTCGTCCTGGTCAAAGTTGGAGACGTAGAGCATGCGGTAGGTCGCGTTGGAGCCGGCGGCGGTGCCTGAGGGCGCGCTGGGGACCGTCACGCAGGTGTGGCCGAGGTCGAGGCTGCCGACCTCACTGGGGCCGAGGAAGGTCTCGAAGTCGGAGACGGACTTGGGGTCTTGTTTGATGGTGAATGTTAGGTATGCGTTTACGAGGAGAAGGAGGGGGAGGGAGAGTGGTGTGAGAATGTTTGCACGTACCGTTCTCGTAGGAGACACTGAGGTGGACGGAGCGGGTGACATCCTGGGTAACAAGGGCAAGCTTGCCGTTCACTATGTTGACTTGAGGTTAGAGTGGTCCGAGTCTCCGGAGGAAATCTCGACTTACCGAGAGGGAACTCGGTGCGGACACCGGGGCCGTTGGTGGATCCACAAGGGGCCGTGTTGTCGGCGTCGGCAGACCACTCACGATCTGGGGGCCTGATGGTCTTCTGTTCAGCTGCCGGTCCCCGTTGAAATCTTCAAGAAACAGCGGGGAGGATTCTTACCAGAGGAAAGCGGCCGGGCCCATGTTGTCGGCGCCCATGACATTGCCCAGCAGCATACTGCCGAACAAAGTGACTGACTTGGCAGAAACCATCTTGAGGGTGATGAGAATCTTCTGGAAATGAAGCTCAACTTGACGAGTTGTCTGAGAAGGGGGAGGTCTGGTCTCAGAGAGCAAGGCTCGAGGCTCGAAGGATCACAAGATTTGCGAAGAAACTTGTGATGGGGGAGTGACTTGGGAGAGAAAAAAGAGGAATCATGAGTAGTGGAAGCGGGATATACGGCCCTCAATATATGCCTGCGCCAATTCTTGTTTCTCTCTCTTTGCGTTTTCTATCCCGGGTATAGCCCAAACCTGGGCGCCGAGGCCCAGCCAACCGCTTTCCATGCCGAGGAGAACCAGAACACCAAAAACGTAAGGTAACGTCTAGCCGGCGGGCTCATCCGCCAAGGTTGCGCTGAGCCGACGAAACCGGATGCCAACACCCCTGGCACACGATCGCGACGATGCGCCCTGGTCCCTGGAGTTGCGCTGGTGTGCGGTGTACCTGACTGTAGCGGCCCACTGCTCGTGTGGTAGCCCCATCCGAGAGAGTTAGCTGATGGGATCGCACTGGGCCCAAGGCACTCCAAGGCCCCGCAACGTTGTTTGGACTTTGTTGTTCTCTGGGTCATCTAGTTGGTTGCAACTTGGAAAAGAGACGCAAAAGTTCGCCAGGGAAGAAAGATGTGTGTAGGTGGCTCCACTAGGAACGGACATGGCTTCATATTATCTGATCATCTGATAAGATGGGCGCCCATCTGCTCATTGGCCAAATACATCGTCTCCGCATCACTAGTGCCCTCTCGGCGCCGTGGGACCGGCATCCACTTCCAGAACGACCAACGGGCACTAAGGGCCCAGCTTCTCTATTGCTGGGTAAGGTGCCACGGTGCTAGCTGGGTTTTCGTTCCCTCAGCGGCTCTCGTATTTGCCCCGGCTTTTGACGAGGGAAAAACTCTTTTCGATGTGTGAGTATTACTGAAGGTGTCGTGAAAGAGGCAACGGTTGTCCGCACGAGGTGGCAGCCCGTCCAGGGTGGTCGGTCTTGGCGATCACCCGCTTTCGAGGAACTGGTTCACAGACGAACGAATCAGAGTTTGTTCAAGAATTAAACTCGGCCTCCGAAGGCTCCATCGCCGCAACGTCGGCGATAGCCCAGTGGCATGAGACCTTGCCTTTCTTCACGACAGTCTAACAGTTTCTCAGCGAAATCGGAAATTGGGCAGACTTTTCGTTGTCTGGCTGCTTTGGGAGACTGGAACTGTTAGTCAAACAATTCTGAAGGGCGGGCTGGATCGCGTTCGGTTCTGACTTTCCGGATCCTCCCCAGTTTTCTGATGGACACGGTGCAGTATCCGTACCTGAGCGGTTACTTTGGCTCGTTCCCGCTGAGGATCGGCGTGGATTTGCGATTTGTGAGTTCGATTGGCATGTGAAGCGTTTCTTGGATCTTTGAACAGAGACGCCATGTCAACTAGCTTGGTCGCCTTGAATTACAAAGCAGAGCGAATCCTAACATAGAGTATATTCACAGTCCATAAATCGAGCAAGCCGAAGCCTCGGAAAGATCTGGCACTATCCCACTATGGCTCACTTTCTTCTTACAGAATCGAACCCCGATGGATGAAGGTAGGTGGCGACAGCTTCGGCGCAGGAAATCAGCGTGATCCGACACCACCCGGCGGGATATCCGGAATCAGGTGCTCACATCCCATCCAGCTCCGCTCCAACAACATCGATAGTCACTCTCTAGCCTTTCTTAATCGCACTCTAAAGTCTAGTTAACATCACGCCTTGGAAAGATTCCACCACCGCTGCCCCGCCTCAGTGTCAACTTTCACTCTACCAGGGCCGCCCGACTCGCGACTGTGCTATTGTTCACACCCAAAGAACCTCCATAAGGTGCCTTGGCCCGGTGCCGAGAAAACGGTTGGTATCCAGGTGGTGACCAGGTGGTGGTATGGGTCATTGTTGGCGCCTTGTGTGGCCGGATTCTCGGGCCAATGCCCTGGTTCGGTCGATCGTGCTGTCTGCCGCAGCCGTGGCAGGCCTTTCGCTGATCACAAATACTGGGGTCCTTTGTTCTGGTTAAGCTTGTATTCAAGGGCCCACGCGGTTATGGCGGCACAGCTGCAAGTTTTGTCATCATACGATACGGTATGACTCCCATCCTCTTGACTTCCTCGCCAGTCGTGATACAAGGGAAGGTGAGCAAGACCGACATATCTTATAAGAAGTATCGTTCTAATTCACTAAACAGGAGCTGGAGCTGAACATGTGGTTCGTTCTGAACCAGCGCCGAGGTGCCTAACGCGTGCCTAACGCGTGCCCAAGTATACATCTTTGGATTCACATAACTCCAAAAGCGGTGCATAGATTTGATGGATTCGATAATCTCGATCTTCATCACCGGATCCTCCTACCGGGCTGAATGACCAAACAGAAAGCAGGCGCTATCGATCAGCTCAAGGCAAAGTGGAGACTTGCTTTGTCTGGGCCTATGCCTAAGGTATGATACCGGGAAGACGAACAAGCAAAGCCATTCCAGCCACACATGGATTTCTTGGAGGGACTTTTGCGCATGATCTTATTGGTACAGGATTCAAGCAAAGAGGCTTGTAGGATCTGTTGCGATAATAACTCTGGTTGAGGTTATGTGGTTCTTACGTGCCAGGAGAGGTGGGATGAGATTTAGCAGGGATTCCACCTTTTTCTTGTCAACGTACAGACAAAGGGCTCATGGTTAGGCCGTCTCCTTTCCCCATCTAACTGAAATTGCCATTAATGTATATCCTGAGGGAAACAACGATAAAGCACACTTCCGTATAGTCTTGAGGTGAATCATCATTTTCAAATTTGTGTTCAAACCGTCTCGAGGACACGGAAGCCATCAGAATTGTGGCAAGGCACATTTACAGAGCTAAAGAACCACTCTGGGTACCTTAATCCCAGGTCTCATTTGACAGAGGAATGACGTGGCCGGCTTGTGCCGAGACTAATGGGCACTTTTGACGGTGGGAGAGGTCCGACTGCGCGAACTGAGGTCGTGTGACGACGGTACGATTAAGTGGCAGTATTCTGGGCAGATCCCAGTATTTATCTAAACTTTGAGGCAATTCAAAGGAAATGCAGATTGTGATCAACTGCAAGCAGCAAACGTAGTTGTACTCGATACCCCCTTTGGCGGCGGCCACAACCGGTGAAACAAACGTTCCCCAATCATAAATTCAAAGTAAGAGCCTAGATTGCTCACATCTGTATTCTATGACATTGATAAGCTTCCAAATCTGATCAGTTGATGCTCCCAGTTCGTCCAATTTCTATCTAACTTTAAATTAATTCTGTCTATTATCTCTGGAAGTGAAGTCGTTCGTTCTAACTCGGAGAACTGTATATAGGGAATTAAAGATTACTGAGAAATTGAGATGAATTCCGCTTAACAATGTTGGCCTAGCCGCGAGATGCAACAAGGGAAACTACAATGCTTTGAAAGAACGTAGCGTTTGTACAACATTGAGAGGTTGACTTTTCATTTGTTTATTTCCGGCTTCGATGGCCTTATGCTCTTTTTCTTCCCTCTCTATACATACCGTAAGCACGTTTCCCAAGCCACATGTTACAACATTAAAACACAATGAAGTCTGATATACGTAGCCAAATATGGTGAAATTCGAGGCGAATTGATGTTCGGTGGCCACTCGTGTCATAACTCTAGTCTTTCTGGTGGGCTCGGGGCTTTTCCGATTCTACAATCACCAAATTTGGGCAGAATTCCAACGGGATCGGAAGATCTCTTGGAAGACCTTGCTCCCTGCAAGTACCGTCTATCCAGCTCCTCACCGAGCTTATCGTGGCTGACTGTAACATCAAGCCAGTGCTGATTCGTAACGTTCTTGTCATGCACCCAGACATTGCAACCATTGCACTTGCCTTCTCCGTACAGAGTGATAGTATTGTATCCATATTCGTTGCCAAACTTGAAAAACTCGCCGAGTCCTCCCACAGCATAAAGCATCGCGACCGGATCGAAAGACCACTGCGGCTGGTAATATGTGTAGAGTATATACGCTGCCCGTACAGGGTCAGTCTTCGGTCCGTCAGCCATGAGGGGGCCGCCTGAGCGAACTGAACCCCCAAGCTTGAACCCGGCGTAGACAATGGAACTTGTCCAGTTGTGAATCACATGTGCTGTCTGATAGGGATCGTCGCCCCAAAAGTTGAATTCGAATCCGTTTGGGTAATCCCCGCCCATGACGACGAGCTCCTTGACCTTGGCCTCGACTAACTCGGGGCCGGACAGTGCGGACCGTGCATCCGCGGTGGAGTTGAGGAGCCCGGAGAGGTTGTGCAGGAAACCGATGGAGGCTATGGTGACGGAGTCGTCTTCCGCCTCGGAGAGGAGCTTGCGGTAGAGGTCGACGGGGTCCCAGGCTTCCTCGGCGTCGGAGATGCTCTCCGACCAGTACGTTGCCAGCTTACTGGCGAACTCGCCGGCCCGCTTGGCCCAATTGTCGAAGAATGGGACGTCGTTCAGCGGACGGCGGGCACCGACGGGGACTTGAGCATGGTCATAATGGTTGAGGATGGCGGATGCTGCTAGCACTGAATAGGAGGATTGGGAGTTGATGTTGACTCCCAGGAGGTTGATATCTGGAGATGTGGCACCGAGAAGAAGAGCCGCGGCATCACTGGGGGATGTTAGAGAAGATTGAGTTAATTCCAGATGGAAACGAGGGAAACAGACTTACTCGCAATCACTGAATAGGTCTGTGTCAACTATGAGATTCTTTTTTGCTGACGAGACAGTGGCGACGATGAAGAACACTGTCAAGAGGCACGCAATGGTTGTCGGCATGGCTCAGCCTTGCCTGGCAAGATCCGGGTGTCTAGCAATATAATATGTCTAATATGTCTGATGGTGCACTGGCCAGTGTCTTGGCACAAAGCAGAGGTTCTTTCATGATCATCTCATGTCTAGGGCCTTCATAAAGAGGACGAGAGAGCGCGGGGAAGTGAGATACGTAGTTACATATGACGAGCCAGCTGTTGTCAACTGGATGCTATGAGAGCCGGCTGCCAAACCTGAAATAGTTGTGACTCGTTTTAGCGCCATTAGTGATCGATCGTCTTCCCCGCCAGCCCGCTAACGTCCGCTGTGGGCCGAAACATCTCATCCTTCCCCCGTCTTCGAAGCGAAACTTTGAGCCTCCCATCTTCTTAGACAGCACTAGACCTGCACCGTTGGCATTGAAGCTTCACGCCAACCGTCGACCTTGTTGATCTCCATACTCGACGTCTCGGAGATACAACATATTCATCTTCCCTGAAATCTTGGCCATGCGATGCCAACGCCCCGAAAAACATGAGGGAGAGTTCTTCTCCATCAAGCAATGTCGATGACGCACGAGGGTCTCTCCTCAAGCTCGGCTGAGGGATGCAACCAACAAATAAGGTGCAGACAGCTCGAACCGGACGAGACAATGCGCAACTTGCTGGGTTACAGGCAGATCCCCCACACGTTAAACCCACCAGGATCGTTCGGTTCCCCTCTACCACAGTAAAGCTGTAGTCAAACACTGGAACAAAGTGCAGATCGGCATGCGTTCCGACTGCCGTTTGGTCATCAAAGCCAATCAAGACCGCAGAGACGCTTCGCCGGACGGATTGCGCCATTCGAGCTGAGTGCGACGTGGGAGCTGCCGCCGTCTGAATACCACGAGCCGTAACACGCAAAACCTACAAAGTGTGGCGACCGCGTCCTGTACATAAGGCGCTGATCTTCCGCGAGACTCTCCGCACCTAAGCTCTGAAACCTTTGAGGTTCTTTGCTCTTTAGAAAAGACATCAAGGTTGCTACAGTCAAATTGTCTTTCGCATCGTTTTGCAGTCCCTCTCTTTCATAAGGCACAGATAGGATCGCATCGAGATGGGCACCGATACAGATCCCACGCGAAAGCTCGACACAGCGCAAAAGGTTGACTCGCATTCTGCTGCGGTCCACGATGGCGGCATTGAGATCCATGGCGTCGACGATGCTGCCATCATTCCCAAGGGTGCTCTAGATCCTGTCTACGAGGCCAAAGCCCGTGTACTGAATCGCGCTGTACGTTGCCGTCTGGGAGTAACTTCAAGACTAGAGCACACAACCGCTAACTTCTGGCCCAAGATTCAAGACATCGGTATGGGTTGGTACCAGTGGCAGCTCTTCATCGTCGTCGGATTTGGATGGGCAAGCGACAACCTTTGGCCGATCGTAACGTCGCTCATATTCACCCCGATTACCAACGAATTTGGTCCCTCTCGTCCGCCCCTACTTACACTATCGCAAAATATCGGCCTTCTGGCAGGTGCCATGTTCTGGGGCTTTGGCTGCGACTTGTTTGGGAGAAAAGTGGCTTTCAACCTGACCCTCGGTCTGACTGCCCTCTGGGGTATGGCTGCTGCCGGCGCGCCCAGCTTCGCAGGCATCGGCATCTTCGCGGCCTTCTGGTCGTTCGGTGTTGGGGGCAACCTCCCCGTCGATTCGGCCATCTTCCTCGAGTTCCTCCCAGGAACTCATCAATACCTATTGACAGTACTTTCCATTGACTGGGCCATCGCCCAAGTCATTGCCACTCTCATTGCGTGGCCCCTCCTCGGCAACCTCACCTGCCAAGAAGGCGCAACTTGCACCAAGGCCAACAACATGGGTTGGCGATACTTCCTGATCACCATCGGCGGCTTGACTCTGATCATGTTCCTGATTCGATTCGTCCTCTTTACCATCTACGAATCGCCTAAGTACCTCATGGGCAAAGGCCGCGACGAAGAAGCCGTCCGAATCGTTCACGAAGTTGCCAGGCGGAACGGGAAGCTCACGTCATTGTCGATAGAGGATCTGAGGGCATGCGAGCCAGAAGGATACGTCGCGCGTACCGACGCTGCCACGGCAGTCAAACGAAATCTAGAGAAGCTCGATCTTAGCCGAATACGTGTGCTTTTCTCTACTCGCCGCCTGGCTCTGAGTACCGGCACAATCATGGCCATCTGGGCGCTGATCGGCCTAGGCTATCCTCTCTATAACGCCTTCATACCGTATATCCAGGCCACTCGCGGAGCGGAACTTGGCGATGGAAGTACCTATTTGACCTACCGCAACAGTCTGATCATCGCGGTGCTGGGCGTCCCCGGAGCGCTGCTAGGTGGCTGGCTAGTTGAGCTGCCCGCGCTGGGTCGCAAAGGCACACTTGCCATAAGCACCGTTGCAACCGGAGTCTTCCTTTACTGCTCGACTACGGCTATGACCAGCAATGCGCTGCTTGGCTGGAATTGCGCCTTCAACTTTTGCAGCAACGTCATGTACGCGGTGCTTTACGGCTTTACCCCGGAGCTCTTCCCCACTCCGCAGCGCGGCACCGGTAACGCGCTCACGGCGACATGCAACCGCATCTTCGGGATCATGGCTGTAAGTGCTTTGTGCGAAGATCAGAGGGTCAATACTGACACAACCCGCAGCCCATTGTCGCCATGTTCGCTAACCTCAAGACGTCGGCTCCAGTTTATACTAGCGGCGCGCTCTTCATCGCAGCTGGACTTTTGGTGCTTATATTACCGTTTGAATCGCGGGGAAAGGCCGCATTGTAATTCCTCCTCATGAACATGTAGACGCTCCGTCAGTGTTTTGTGCCCGAAGACACGCTAGAAACCATTCTGGCCTTCCTCTCGGTGCCGGGGAAGGTATACAGTACCCCTCGGCCTCTTGACATGGTACTATGAAATGATCATCGACACCGCGAGTCACCTTCATGATGTATTGTCCAACTATCAACGTCGGCACGAGGCCGCTCCGGTACTCGGCCATTGCCCGCGGAGTAGGGTAACTGCGTATCTACTGCTCAACAAGCTGCACAGCCGTGCTCTTGGCGAGCGAGGTTTAGAGAGCCTCCAACCCGAACATCGGCAACTCGATATGAACCCGTGGACCCATTGCAGTCTTTCGGAGAGATTCTATACGTCAATGGCGGAAAGCACATTTCGCTACGGGGGGCCCAAAGTCTTGGCGACATGGTCATTGCCCACCGTTATCTGCACCCACGGGGATTCCCCCGCTTTCCCCTCATCTTTTTCTACTGAGCTGCCTCATCCAGTTTCGTTGCCAATGTCAATACTAATTCAAATCGGACCTACGATGAGAGCCTTGATGGCTTTCAGTATCCCACTGCCGGTCAGCATCGGTAATTCCTCCGACATTGGTTGAATTACCAACCATCAGCTCTGGAATGAGATCAGCCAAGCCAACGGTCATGTCAGGGACCGTCTCCCGCCACGCGTTGACGAGCCATTTTGTGCTGCGTGGTGCTACGCGACCCCATCGCGGCTTTGGTGCCTTGCAAGAATAAGAAAAACCTTAAAGGGGACGAAGCCGACCTTCTCTGGAGCAAGACTATCAGATCCTGGCGCTGCTTCGCTCTGGTACTGAACTCTCACAACCGCACATTGTCCAACACGATGGTTGCTACATCTCGCCTAAGCCTCTTTGGCTTGTCCCTACTCTCGTCTGTCCAGGCGGCTCAGTATGGGTACAACCACGTAACTGTGCGCAAGGATACAAACATCGTCGCAGCCAACTTCAAGGATATCGAGGGCTTCGACTTGCTGTCGCCTGCGTTTTTGACCCCGGACACGATCCCCGCAGGCTTCTCTGATGGCACACAGGGCCCGACAAATGACGACCTTCTTGGTGAGCTTTCAATGAGCAGCTTTGTCTAACCAATGGCTAATAAATCGGAAGACTCTTTTGTTCAAGACTTGGCCGATAAGAACGACTGGTTGACTTACAACAAAGCCAACTTCACCTCGGAGGAAGGCCGTCCGTTTCCTTACCTCCACCTGTCTTCGATAAAGCTGTCACGCAGGATTTCTAACTCGACTGGCAAGGTCAGGGTTTGGGTCCAAGGTGCCGTCCACGGAAACGAGCCAGCCGGCGATCAGTCACTTTTGGCCCTCCTCGGGGCTCTAGACGCGAACCAGACATGGGCCGCGTCGCTCCTTGAGAAGCTCGACATTGTGATCCTGCCTCGGTACAACCCCGACGGTGTTGGCTACTTCCAGCGCACCCTAGCCACCAACTACGACCCCAACCGCGACCACGTCAAGCTCGCCCGCAAGCAGACCCGCGACATTAAGACCCTCTTTGGCGAGTTTGCTCCCCACGTCGCCATCGACATGCACGAGTACAGCGCGACTGCCCGCTACGGAAGCTACTACCACGCCGCCGACGGTCTCTTTTCCGCCGCCAAGAACCTCAACATCCACCCGGACATCCGCACGCTGTCCGAGGAGGTGTTTGCCAAGAACATTGGCTCGGCCATGGAGGCCCGGGGCCTGCGCTGGGAGCCGTACGTGACGGGTTCCACCAGCACCAACCCGGCCTTCAAACCGACCTTCGCCGAGGCCGGCTCGGACGCAAAGATTGGTCGCAACGCCATGGGCCTCACGCAGTGCGTCACATTCCTCATTGAGATGCGTGGCATTTTCCTCGCGAACCAGGAATTCCAGCGCCGCACCGTGGCCGGCCTGACCATGGCATCGAGCATCATCCAAACCGCCGCCGACAACGCCGAGAAGGTCTACACGACCATCGAGTCCTCCATCGCCGACTTCGAGTCCTCCACTTCTGAGATCGTCGTGACAGACTCCTCGCCGCTCGTCCAGCGCACATTCAAAATGGTCAACATTAACAACGGCTCCGTCACCGACGTGCCCATCAACTTCCGCTCCACCACGCCTGTGACGGCTAATATCACCCGCGCCCGCCCCGAAGCCTACCTCATCCCCGTCGCCTGGGCCGATCTCGCCGAGCGCCTGCGCGTGTCTGGTCTCGAGGTCGAGACACTGAGCGAGCCGTATGTCGGCAGCGTGGAGGCGTACGACATCACTTCGGCTGTTTTTGAGACGGAGTACTACGAGGGCGTCGTGCGCGCTACCGTGACGACGGAGGCGCTGACCAGGGAGGTGAACTTGCCTGCTGGCAGTTTCCTCGTCAGCACGAGGCAGAAGAACGCTGCTCTTGCGTTTGTGGCGCTCGAGCCGGAGAATATCGATTCGTATGCTAGTTTTAACATCGTCCCTGTTGAGGCTGGGGATGAGTATCCCATCTACAGGGTATTGGCATAATTGCGCCAAATGAGATGATAGACACATAATTAATACAACCATTGGACGGCATCTCATCATTGCAAACAATTCCAGCAAGAGCCCCTGTGTTTGAAAACATGCTCCATCACGCCTCAAGCTTCCTCCGCCACTCAATCACCCCAATATCCTCCCTCCCCGTCATAAACCGCACCCCGCACCTCAACAACTCCGCCAACACCTCCATCTCCCCTTCGTCCCGCGGCCCGTAGACCATGAGATACGAATCCGCCAGATGCAATCTGTTTGCCAAGAACGAACCCTTGGGTAGGGAGAGGCGGTGACGCTCGGCCCAGCGTTTTTGGATGGCGAGTTTGGCGTCGGCGGGGGAGAGGTAGAGGTGGATGGAGAGGTCTGTGTGGTGGTGGGCTATTTCGCCGCGGGCGATGACGGGTGTTGATTGGGATGAGGATGAGGATGTGAGAGAGGAGAGGATTTGAGGGTGGAGGAAGAGGGCTGGGTTGTTTCGTTCGTAGAGGGAGAGTTTTGTGGTTAGGAGGGATGGGTTTTGGGTTACTGCGTTGGCAAAGAGGTTTTCGATGAACTAGAATATTGTCAATTAATTCATACTTGATAAAGCTCATCTTACAGGGGCATAGAGAATCGTCATAGTCCGAGCAAGGTGACTCGTACGATACTCACCTCTCTCATCTTCTCCGGCGCATGCTGACTCAACTGCCGATGCGGCACGATCCCGCTCAACTCGGCTCTCTCCCCCTTCCTCTCAGGTAGTTCCCGGATCTCGGCGTGGGACCCATGGTTCGGGTAATCGCCCGTCCAGGTGGCCGAGCTTTTGGAGAGGGCAAAGGGGCGGAGGCCGAGGGTGACGAGGAGCCAGCCTAGGGCGTTGTGCGGAACGCCGCCGGGGCCGAGGGCGATGTAGGCGCGGTAGTCACGGTAGGCTACCCAAAGGAGGAAGGGTGTTGCGAGGGTGGTGAGGAGGGTTGGTAGGGTTGAGCGATTGCGGAGGGAGTGGAGGAGGGTTGTGAGGCTTGTTGGTGATGACATTTGGTTGTGTTCGTGAGATTTTGGTGTTTGAGTACAGAGCAGTCTTGAGGTAGTTGAGATAATGAATGGGTAATTATTAAGATGAGGTGGGAGCGAGATGCGTGAGTGATGATGAGGCTGAGATGAGAGACGTTCGGGGACTTTGGGGAAGAGCGGGCGGGACATCCGGGGAAGCGGGGTTAGTCAGCCCGACGGCCGTGCAGGCGCTCAGTCAGATGCCTCCGAGGGGGTGCCCTCGGCTTTTATGGGTCGATCCGACGGCTTCAAGATACCTGCCGGTCTCTTGAGTTGCTGCTTATGGAGAATATCTTTGAAACATACCAAGACCAGAGTCATACTACACTCGTGCTGTGTCTACCCTTCACTCTAGGTTGACCCACTGGAGAACGTTCTCTGGGAAAGATTACATGGTCAACTCAAGAGGAGTTCGTCGACCAAGCGTGGGGTATTATCTAGATCTATTAGTGTTGAAGGTATAGTATCACGACTCAAGAAGCAGCCTTTCGGTATTGTCCCTGGCGACTTGCTAGGAATCAAGCGACTCTCGGTCTTCCGATCAAGCGGCCAGACACATCACATGAAGTTTGTCTTCGTTGAACGACACACTACGTCCGCTGCGCCCAACTCTCATTCTGACTCTTCGGACTGCATGGATTCCGCAAATAGCCAATGAGATTAATCTCAAGATTGACAGATAGTTGATACAATAGTAACAATTAAGTTTAAGCTTTGTCCAGATTCTGGCGGAAGCACGCACATCGTCCTTGTCTTATTTATCTTTGAATGTACTGCTTTGAGTACATGGACATTGTTCCCATATTTCTTTCAGCACAATATCTTAAGCCTCGACTTTCTATGAACCGTTGAATAGTGTCATTGATTATTCCCAATGAGATGACTTCGTATATCACCAATGTTTCTGCTCCTCGCCATCGTTCAAGAAAGCGTGTTTAAGAAGTCAGCATTGCAGGAAAGCAAACAACAATCCAAGCCCATCATCTCAATACGACAACATCTAGTTCCAATTCACATATAACTACCCAAGCTCCATTACCCTCTTACACGCAGCCCGTAAACGAATCTTGACAAACATTCCCTTGCTCACCAAGCACCATCATATCACTATGGACCAACTCAAAAAGCTTACCCGCCGCGTAAAAGCAGCCGTCAACGACAGCCCCCCCTCCTCCCCCGAAGAACCCCCTCGATCCTTCTTCAACACAACTCCTCCCCCCCTCCTCCGCCGCGTCTCCAACCGCCTCGCAACAGGCCTCAAAGACCTAACAGACCGTGGCCCCTCTCCCTCCCCTTCCTTCCGCCCTCCCCAAAACGAGTCCTCCAGCAGCCTAGTCCCCATCATCCGAAGCCTATCTCGCCGCGGCGCCGGCGCCGGCGGCAGAAACAAACCGATCCCCCACCTACCGTACCGCATCCCGGACCCGGATCCCATGGCACCCTTTGGCGGCGGACGCAGCACGAACCCGGGCGCCGTGAAGCATATCCGCGATAAGTTTGTCCGTTGGACGGCGCGTCCGGACGGGGAGTACGACGCCCGCTGGAAGGGCGCCTGTATCCCGACGGGCGAGCACGTGTCGAATATGCTGGAATGGTATAGCCATTGCGACGTCTACGAGTTTCCCTTCATCGGCACCGTCACTCGGATGAGCTGCGGCGCCACAAACGCATTCTACTTTGTCGAATTCCAGCCCAATTCCAGGCCCGTCGGCCAGGGTAAGTCGTCACCTCTCCCGCGACAGGTGATTCTCAAACTAAGCCTGCCCGTCTGTCCCCATGAAAAGCTCGAAGCCGAGGTTGCGGCAATGGTGTTTGCCAGGCAAGTATCCCCGGCCGTGGTCCCTCAGATCCTCGTCTTTGATTCCATCGGTAGGAACCCACTCGGGCTGGAGTGGATGATTATGGAAGTTCGCACCGGGTTCCCTTTGCTCAGTGCATTCGAGGAGAACTACATCCTCGCGGCGCACGACCTCAACATGGCTAAGCAGGATACCGGTTTGGAAGGGTTCGGGGACATATCGCCCGAGACCATGCCGTCCCTGAGCGACGAGGACACCAAGTCCATTGCGAAGGAAGTACAGCTATTTCTTTCTGAGCTGCAGAACTCTCTGCCGACCGTTCCAAAAAATCAGGTGCGTATTGGGAGTCTTCGTATCGACTGGTCAAAGAAAGAGTTCTTCACCGGTCCGATAGTCCACCCTCACTTCTACAGCTCTGACAGATATTGGCAAGTGCGGAACAACGGGCCTTTCAGATACATTGAAGATTACATCGACGCCTACACTTCGGTATGGGAGCCCGAGTTCAAAAGCCATCCCGAAATCAAAGTGCGTATACGAAAGTTGCGAGAAATTGCCCGTGCAATGGCAAGCCGTGTGAGGTTCAGTATCCCAAACCCGATCATGGTTGAAAGTACTGGTGGCAGCGTGGATGGCTGGCCCGTGACGCTAGTCCACCCTGATCCTCACCCAGGTTACATACTCTTTAACGGAAACCGGAAATTGGCGACCATCATGGGTTGGGAGGATGCGGTGCTGATACCAGCGCCGTTGCGAAACCTTCCCGTGGCATTGGATTGGGCCATGCAACTCCACGGAGTGACTGATGCCATTGATCCTATGCAAGTGAATGTACTTGAGGCTTTGCCCATTCGCAAAGAGCGGGTATTATTAACATTGCAGGAATGGGCGAAGAGACATGTCTCCAAGTCATTGGAACCTGTGATGAATTTTCAAGGAGGGATCGATGCTTCTTTCCAAGCACTGAAGATAGCCTGCGAGGAGATGATGCGGCGGAGAAGTATAGACTGGATTGAGCGTGTCCATTCCCAGCTCGTTGGCCAGTCTCACGGATAGAGAAAGGTAGGTCAAGTTTTGTGAGAAGTCTTGTGAGCACAAGAATGCTTGGGTAAGAGAGAAGTTCATAGACAACCCAACACACCACCATGCAAGAGATTCTATCAGACCGACGTGCAAAGTGATGCCGCGCAAGGGTGTAGACAGCCTCAACTCTGGGAGGAATATCTACTGCGCCACACCAGTGCAGTCAAATGAACGAGATCGAAGTAGATCTCGGGTGACGGCTGTCAGGAGGAGGTGCTCCGGGGCCCACGCATCCATCACATTGAGGATAAATAAGGCTTGGCAAGGTATCCTTGTGAGTTCGTGGGGCCGTCAGCCGCGTGAATCGAAATGGGAGCACTGACAGGGATGGCAATGAAAATGTGGTTGACTGTAAAAGAATACTTCACTACATAGGTACCAAGTCCTGAGTCTTGTGACAGTTCATGAATCTTGGAAGAGGGTATGCAAAAGCAAAGCGGCCGTCAGGTAGAGGCTTCGGGCCGCTCTGAAGTTAGAAGGGAGATTGCAGGCCGAAGGAAATGAGTTCATGGTTTGGTGATGCAGTGGCGTGCCGAAAGACAGAAGAATGGCGTCACAGGGAGCTGAGATATCCGTGAGGTGCATCGCACTAATGACCGGGCTTTGACGTCATGGATTGCACGCTGGTGCTTTTTTGGGGCTGGCCGCTGGTGGTGGTGTGTGTTTGACTGTTTGCTGGTCGATCGCGATTCCAGAGAAGGAGAAGTATGAGGGGAAAAAAAAGATAGAAGAAGACGCTATGCCATATGTAGCGTCCTAGGCCACAAGAGACCAAGGGGATGGCGCGCATCAATGGGATTGGATACGTGGATGCCAAAAGATAATGATGGCAAGAAACCAGATCTTGATAGAAATGAGATGGGGAGATGGGGACAGCTGGACAAGCACCTGAGAGCTCACAGACTTGACATTGACAAACCTGGACTCGACAGGGCTTGAACACGTCTAGACTAGGCGATTACGTGTCAGTGGCCCGTAGCGGCATCCACCGCGTGACGAATTGGGAGCATTTGACAGCAATAAAGTGACAGAAGGGGAGGTGATCGTTGGGCGACGTCGTCTGAGCAAGGCTTGAACGGGTTGCGATTCCGCTGCCAATGTGCCAATGATTGGCAATGCAGAATGCAGAATGCCATGGGTTCAATGTTAGGTTAGGTTAGGTTGGGTTTTGATGGAGATCTGGAGACTGGAGTCCTGGACGCAACACTTGCCAGATCCTTGCATCAGTTTATTCCGAATGCCGTGATGATCCCGGCCTTGGCGCGTATTGTTTGATGAGTGGAAGTGTGGCGTATTTGGCGAATTAAGCAAGTATTGAGGGATGAGAGATTGAAGAAGCCTAGACGTTCTGTGGCTGTGAAGGGGAAATCATCGAGTGTGGCCGGGGTTGAGTGTATATGTGTGTATGTGTGTGTGTGTGTGTGTGTGTGTGTGTGTGTGTGTGTGATTGAAACACAGAGAGCATGCTGATGCTGCAGCTGTTGCGCAGCTCTTGGGATGCTTCGGATGCATCTGGTTGGGAGGACGGTTACATTTTGCGCAAAGGATGAGAATGCATAAGGGAATAATCTCCAGAACTGGTGAGGCGTTGAGAAATCGTGCGTGAAAATTTGACCGGCGGCCATCGTTCAGCGGGAGGCAGAGACATGTTTCTTCCCGGCTCATGCTCCTGCCTCCCGTCCTCTTTCTGTTGGTTGGTCAATGGATAATGGCAGGGAAGGAGCAAGGACGGGGAGGGAGGAAGGAAGGAAGGAGGAGGAGGACGGGAGAGGCTAGAACCGAGCTGAAGTGGGGCCAATCAAGTACCATCGGGTGCCCCATGTAGCTTTGTAGCGTTGTACCTCCTTCCGCTGCACGTTCAAAAAAACCAAGCGCGGAAAGAGAGACGTTTAGCGTGAGGATGCCTGTCGCGTCCAGACCCGCGCTTTCGTTGACATGACGACATGGCCAACACCACGCCATTCAGATCGAGGATGTAAACTTGTTGGAAGTCGCGATGGGTTGCTGAAACAGTCGGAAATCCCATGTGCCTATGTACCGCTACCACTGCAGTCTCCCCGTGGCCTCTCCGAGGCAGCGTGTCATCTCGATCCAGTCCGAAAGTGGGCAGAGTCTTGTTTGAGACACAACAAATCAACGGGATATTGGACAGGGCTTTGGGCCATCCACACCGGCGCACGCAGCTCGAAGCAGTGCAGCACGCAGCACATCCCTTCTGCATCCCGTCATATCCTGGCGCACATCATTCAGTCAGGTCGTCCAAAGATGCCAGAGTCCAATTGGCGATTCACGAGGACGACGGACGGTTTGTTCCACAGCTGTCTGGCCTAAATGGCACCTGATGAGGAATAGGGAAGATGATAGTGGGACAGAGGCTAGTATCCTGGGGATCGGGACTTGTGAGAAAGACAGTAAAGTAACCACTTTCAAGCACAGCAGGGAGACTCTGTGGTGATACGAGGCATTGACTTGAATAGCGTCCGAATAGTCGAGCTATCCACCGTTGACAATTTCAGACAGCGCCTAGCACCAAACTCTCCTAGGTGATCTGATATCCGTACCCAGTAGTGCGACAGAGATCCCATCACGAGGGGAGGCTGGGAAACGGTTGTCTGAGAAGCAGCCGCCCGGACGCTTGTACTGTACATGTACCAACTTGCTGTGCTCCCTATCCACCAACCTGCCTGACCTACATCGGACCATTTTGCAACAATAAAGGAACCCGACAGTCGCGAACAGCGGCGGCTGTGTGGTGCGGAAGTTGGCAGGAGTCTAGACCGTGTTTTTCCAAAAGTCTGCATCATCCACAGGATAGCCCGGAGACGTCTTGCCGGTGAGATGTGTCCACTGTTCAGTCACTCCAGACCCAATGCGTCGATGCGGGTGGTGTGTTGCTTGGTGAGAGAATCGAACAGGGTGAAAATTATCGACGATGTTCGCTATGCTCTGCGATGGACGATGGACGAAGTCGAGATGTTGTCTGTCACCCAGACTGCGCAAAACACACCAGGTGGGACCGCTAAGAAAGTGGGTGCGAATCTCCCCAGGCCACTAATGCGAATAGGAGAGGTGCTAAAAAATGCCAGTGCTTCGCCAGCTGGAACTCAGTCACCTCAATCTTGCGCTCCAATTGCTTGGTGCTTGGCCCAGCCGAGGCGAAGCAGGGGATACGCATAGGGGCTGGATTTCTGAAGCAAGCACCTTCGCAAGCAAGGCAGGGGCAGGCAGGTTCAGCTGTGGTTGTCCTCGCCTCTTTCCGCTTGGATTTTGTATTCATCGGCAGTGCACGCGCCGAAAAGATACATTGTCCTCAGGTAAGGAAGGTACCTACTCACCTGGTCTGAAGTTCTGACGGGTGCGGGAAGGTACCTGCCTGCCTCCCTCCATCCAGGATCACAGCACGCACCTACCTGCCAAAGTGGCCGATGACGTAGTGCATCAAATTCCTGCCCCCTTCCTTCACGTCACCGTCACCATCGCCGAGTTCCACGACCAGACCAGAAGGGACCGCCTGGGGCACCCACAAACACCAATTTTTTGCTAGCAGGGCCACGGAAGGCACGCAGGGAAGGTACCTTGTAGCGGTATTCGTAGATACACAGCTCATCCAAGGGGAGGAAGGAACCATTGTGAGCCGGGCTGGAAGGACCAAGCTCCCACTGCACCTGCCTTCTCCTAGTTGGAAAGTACCGGGCCCGCCTCCTGCTGGCTAAATCACCGTAGTAAGGTGGACGAACGCCTGCCACGCGCGTTGCTTTGCCGCCTCCCTTCCAAATATTCGTTGGCCCAGTTTCATTCTGACGCAGGCTTTTTTTTTTTTTTTTTTTTAAGTCAATCCTGACCAGGTTCTATTCCCTGGACACACACGACGCCAGAAAGAAGGTATAAACACCTCCTCGCCTACAGTGCCCCCTTCTTACAGACCTCTTCCTCTTCTTCCTCATCGATACGATACCTTTTCCTGTCTCACCCTTTTTGAACAGGAACACAGCCTTGGCGATTCTTATTATACCCAATTTCCCTGTGATACCCCCTCCGAAATACCCAATACCACGAATTCCCTTTTTTGTCCTGTACGCCACTACCGATAATCACCCTACCTCATCTCAATACCGTACCCCAAAACACAATTCAACAAGCAGTCTTCATTGCGCGATATCTACGATACCCCCATCATGTCAGCAAACGTCAACAAGCCGACGGACCTCAAGCAGAAGGAGGCCGACGTCAACCGCAAGCTTCAGCTCTACGGCATCCTCTCCGCTTTTCAGGCTGGCAAGGTTCCTTCGGTACGTCGATGCCGGCATGGCGGCAAGGGCCCACGCGGCCCCCGCTGGGCTGATCCTTGACCCGCAACCCTACATCATTGCATGATACTGACGTGGTCCCTCGCAACAGAATGACCAAATTGATGTTGCGCTGAATAGCTTCCTGGCCTCCAAGGCTCTTTCAAACCCTCCCGAGAAGCTTTCTCCTGAGGGCCGCGCACTGGTTGCCGATGCGCGCGAAGTTGTCATTCAAGCCAAGAACCTTCTGTTGTCCAAGAACCAGGGCAATTTGATCCAGGACTTTATCTGGCAGACTGAGCAATTCGACCCCAAAGCTGTCGACGTTCCTGGCGCCCCCGTCAACAAGGAGGTTGCTCAGCAGCATGGCGACAAGGCACTAGAGGGTCTGCGGACCCTGGGAACTCTGCTCATCACCAACGGACAGTTCCGCAAGCTTCGTAAGTCGAATAGCGGTTTCTGCGCAATTGACTGCAATCTAACAACATTTTAGTCAAGGATGCCACCGTCCTTCTCCGGGACATGGCTGGTGATGCTGCTACCAACGCCGCCCAGCGCGTTCGTCCCTCAGGCGAAGCCCTCCAGGACATCGATCGCCCCGCCGAGGACAACACTTGGCACGATGCCCCCGACTTCTCCAAGGAGAACTTCAAGAAGCAGGCTCAGGGTGTCTACAAGGGCTCTCCCGCCGATGATGCTCGGGAGGTCCTCGCCGCAGGCACTCAGGCCGCTCACCCCAACGGATCGCAGAACCCCCAGGATCTGGCTGCGACTGCCGCTCGCGATCAGCAGCAAGGTACCAACTCGGGTGTCAACGCCCAGGGTGGCATCAACGCTGCCCGCGATGTCATCCAGAAGAAGTACAACGAAAACGTCGATGGTGAGACCAAGGAGCAGGCACGTCAGCGCAAGGAGGAGTATCTTCGTCGTTCCAAGGAGTACTTCAACAAGAAGATGCCCCAGGAGCGTAAGGATCAGACTATCTGGCGCCTCAAGAAGATGGTGCTTGAGTGCCAGCAGCACCCCGATTACTCCCAAGCTATTGAGACTCTTCTCAACCTCGCGGAGGAGTACGCCAGCCACTCCCGCACTCTGGCCCAGGGTGGAACTGGTACCGTCAAGGACACCCGTGCCGGTCTTGCTCAGGCCGAGTCTGATCTCAAGACGCTTATCGAGCGCTTCGCCAACGGCACCTCGACCGAAGACCTCTTCGAGTCGATCAACCAGATCTACCGCGATGCTGACAACGATCGCGAGCTGAAGGACTGGTTCAAGGCTATGGACCGCTACGTCCGCCGCTGCCTTCTCGAGCAGGGATACATCCTGGACGAGGACTCCAACCAGGAATGGAACCACCTGTACGACCATGGTCGCTACTTGCTTCGCGAGAAGTACCGCGCTCACACCGATCGCGTCTTTGACGAGATTAAGTTCTTGATCGACCAGTTTGACCAGGACCCTCTCAACAAACGCTTCGGCTTGGCCGTTCAGAAGCTCTTCACCGATCTCGGCAATGACGAGAATGGCAAGCCCACCTTCAAGCCTCACTTGCTCAAGGATCTGTCGGAGGTTATCATCCCCGGTATCTTTGAGAACGTCGCCTACATCCCGGTCCCGCGTATCGAGTACAGCGACCCTCAGTTCGATGCTGTCATTGAGAATCTTGTCCTGGAGTCCGACAACTTCATGCCTAACGTTCTCGAGATTAACAGCGAGAACTATTTCCTTTGGGGACGCAAGAAGATCGCCAACAAGCACAAGCAATCCTTTGAGGTGAAGGTTGCTGGTGTCCAGCTTGATCTTCGCGACGTCAGCTACCACGTCAAGCGCAAGCAGGGGTTCCCCTCCATCACCGACACTGGTGTTGCCGACATTCTTCTCGCTGGCGATGGTTTCTCTTTCAAGATGAAGCTCTCCTCTGCCGATAAGAGTGACAGACAAAACTTCTTCAAGGTTGACAAGGTTGACGTTGACATCAAGCACATGAGCATCAAGCTGAAGCAGTCTAAGCACAAGCTTCTGTTTGGTCTCTTCAAGCCCATCATGCTCAAGGTCCTCCGCCCTGCTCTTCAGAAGGCTGTCGAGAAGGCAATCAAGGACCAGGCCACTCAGCTCGACAGCATCATGTACCAGGTCAAGCAGGAGGCTGATCGCGCCCTCGATGAGGCTCGCTCCAACCCGGAGAACACTCCCAACATTTACAACCGCTATGCCACCGCTATGCAGAAGCGCGCTCTCCAGGCCAAGCAGAAGGCGGACGAGGTTACTGCGGACAAGAAGGTCAACTACGCCATCACCAAGGAGGATTCCATCTTCCCCAACATTCACCTCCCTGGAGGTATCAGCTCCAAGGCCACTGAGTATAAGGAGTTGGCTCGCAAGGGCGAGCGCTGGGAGAGCCCGGTCTTCGCCATTGGCAAGGCAAACAAGTCTACCGACATTCCCGATGCTCCTCGCATCGAGCGCAAGAAGCATGGTCTGCCCACCCAGCAGGGCCACTATGCTCCTCACGCTCCCGGCCAAGTCAACGGCGGTGACTTGAACACTGTCCCTACTTCCGGCTACCCTACCTCCAGTTATGACGCCCACCCCAACGGCGGTCTTAACGGCACCGTCAACACTCTTTCTACCCCTGCCCACGTCAGTGGGTACTGAGTGTAGACTTTAATTCTTTTCTTTTGTGACAGACGTGGATCAAATGATGAGTTGACGGCAAACGAAAAGGCTTATACCCGGATGGAGAATGCAGTTTTGGTCACCCGACGGTGGAAGGTCAATGATGTGGTTCCTTAGTAATAATTCTTCAGCACAATCCCATTGGCTTCGACAGTACTCTACGACGGATTTGCTCATTTGCTACTTGTAACATGATGTGCTATTTACATTGTGAAAATTGTGGAAATACCTACTCATGATATTTGAAGGCGACAGATCTTAGTCAAGGCCGCCTCGCTTAAAGCGATGTCCAACCCATGTCAGTCGGCACCAGCGCGCCGTTGATGGTGTTCATCCCACCAGAACACAAGCTCACCACTGTCTTTGATACCTGATCCAGCGGTGACCATCCCAAATTCCAACCACCCTTTGCAGGGTCACCTTGGCAGGTGTTGAAAGTTGACACCACTAATGGGGGTGGGGGTTTCGTCAGCAGTTCGTACGCATGGTAGAGTGGAGTGCTCGCTAGGAGATGGTGTCTTACCCATGGCGAGGCCTTCGGGATGAAACTCTTTGATGTGTTCCTCGTCCCTGGCCATGTTTGTCATCATCGGGCCGGGCATGATGGCCAGGCACCGGATGCCCTTTGGGCCGTAAAAAGCTGCTGTGCTTCGCGTGAGGCCGACGGTGCCGTGTTTGGAGGCTGTGTAGGCGACGCCTTTGTGGTGTTTTTGGTGGTTAGCTGGACGTTCTATTTCACACAAGGTTCTTGTTTCATGATTCGTTCTCTTTAGGAGATGGATTCTTCACCCCTTCCTTTTGGGCACATCACGAGCGATTGAAGTGAAATAATATGAGATGAGATGAGGTGAGACTTGGAGTGAGATTCGGAAAGATGGAACTCACCTGCCCTCGCACCGTGAACGCCTGCGGCACTAATCACATTCAAAATCACGCCTCTCTGTCCGTCGACAGGCTCCTGCTTGAGAAACTGCTGGATGGCGTGCTGCGAGGTGACGAAGCTGCCCGTCATGTTGACGAGGATCTGGCGGTCCCACATGGCCATGGGGCACTCGCCCGTCGGGTGCATGAGGTCCGAGATACCGGCGTTGTTGACGAGGACGTCGAGCCGTCGTTTACCTTTGTCTGCTGCACCATCTCCTCCGTCGCCATCGATCCAGGAAGAGATGGCGGCAGAGACGGAGACCGGGTCGGTGATGTCTGCTCTCACGGGGTGCAGACGAGCACGCTGATCTGGGACGTCGTCGAATTTGGAGGGGAGAGAGGCGAGGGAGGCGTCGGATATGTCGAGGGCGAGGACTGTTGCGTTTGCGGCGAGGAAGTGCCGGGTTAGGGCGAGGCCTAGGCCTGAGGCTGCGCCTGTGATGAGGACTGTTTTTGAGGTGTAGTCTGTGGACATGTTTTCTGATGAATGGGAGTTGGCGATGTGGGTTATTTCGAGAGATCTTTCACAGATTCGGGGTTCAAGAAGAACAGACTTAGGAAGAGCAAAGATGTCTATAAGTAGTTTCTATTGACATTATATACACGAGCTGTTGATTGAGGTAGGTTCTCGGTTTGGTGGACTTTCGATAAGTGGCATGATGAGAGAGTGAATGCCTCTGGGCATGAAGTATCGACATCCCGCCTGCATCCCAAAGAGAATCCGATACCGAGAACGACGGGAGCGTACGACGACATAGGAAGCCAAGTCGACTGACTGTGTGTCTGCTACTTATTGTATGCCAATGCTATATCAAGGGGAACATATGCACAACCTGCAGGAATGCAACCACTCTTTCGACGAGGGGATGTTGGCTGGCGGGATGTTGATAGTCCCCGAATCCAACCTCCGCATCGCGCGCATCGCATTGCTCGGATTCAAATATGCTGACAGGCTGGATATCTCCGATGCGTAGGTTGGAGTACTCCGTACAGACTTAAGAGACAGGGTTTGGTAGTCTGGGAAATTATCAGACGTACAGAGAGGAGCGGGACGGAGCAATCGGAATAACTTCGTAGCAATTCTTCCCCGCATTATCCATGCACACACGGATTCCGGGGAGCACGGGAGAGCTACACGCGGAATTATGATGGTTGATTGGGTGCGTATACACGTATCCGATGTAACCTTGGTGCACAAGGGAAACCTCCGCGATGGGGGAACTGTCAAAGTTCTTGGGAAGCAATCTTTAACGTTACTTCAATTGTAAGCCTATTTTACGTACAACAACAGGTATCATTCTACCCTCACAACGATCAATTGATCCTACTAAGCGAGCCTTAATTGCTCGCCTGCAGCTGATTCGGATCTGTCTGCTTGCTCTTTATCCCCGCCAACCCCGTCTGCCGATTCGCATCCCGTCCGGTTGTGTTCTCCAAATTCCGCTCGCTCGAAGGTTTGGGACCCAGGCCAGGCGTGATGGACGGTCCACCGCCGCGGGTGACGGCGTCCGCGACGCCTGCTGCGCGGTCTGGGGCGCCGGTCAGGAAGGCGAAAGTGCCGCCTAGTGCTGCGGCGACGCCGAGGACGAGGTAGAGTGCGCTCCTATTGAAAACCAATTGCGTCAATAATCTGGAGACCCAAGGAATGCCTTAAGAGCAAACGAGAGAAGGGAGAAAGGCTTTACCTGTTACTTATCTCATCTGGCTTGGTTCCGACTTTGGGGTTTGCTTGAGACGGTGTTGGGCGGGACGGCGCTGAACCGCTCGGGTTGATGGGGTTTGGTGCCGGGGGCTCCTTGACGGCGTAGCCCCGGCGGGAGGCGAGTTGTGCGGAGGTGCGGAAGGTGGGGTTTCGGAGGGCCGATTGAAGGCGGAGAGCTCTTGATGATGACATGATTGGTCGTGTTTGAGAGTAATTGGATATGTATTGAGTTTTACGGAACGGAGATGTGAATGAAATGTTGAGACTTGAAGATAGTTGAACTTCGCGATAATTGTTCAGATAGTATGTCAGATCCTTGGTCATGCCTCCCTTGAACGACAATGTGGATTTGCGGTGTTATATGACCGTGGCGCGACATGGCGTTTTCAAGGTGCTCGGTTATGACGAGCGATGATGTCGAGGATGCACCTTTCCGGGGCCCCTTTGTAAGGAGGTAGGTGCGTTCATCTCACTGCCAGCATCAGACGGTCTCAAGCCTTGTGTGATTTCTATGGCCCAGGGACAGATGCCCTTTGCATTCCAACGCAGGAACTCGTCCAATGATGCATTAGGCTAGGTCGATGATTCATCAATGTTGATGATGTACCTTGCGGGTGGGGATATCAAAAACATTAGCCCCCCCTGACAATATCTGCAGTAGCCTAAGACCCTGAGCTGTTGCGGAACCAGCCGTGTGCTCTCAACTTCCTTTGCCCTCTTTGATCGATTTACCGAGTAGTCACATTAGGTACTTCGTGGACAGTGGGCAGGCAGTTAGTGAGGTATGTAGTCCATACCCAAACTCACCGAACCCATCTAGGGCCCGCCTACCGATTCCTTAACGCCGCATGGATCCCGTTATAAGTCCAATTCAACCTCATCCGATCCAGCTGCGCCTGCGCCGACATATCCGTCACGTGCCTCGAGTTCTGCTGCACCTGCGACGCGCGCGGCCTGCGCACCGAGTCCCACGTCCGCAGCGCCGACGCGATGCTCTCCGGGTTGTCGGCGCTGACCCCATCGTGGAGGAGCAGTCGCAGACCTTCGGCGTCCTCGATGGCCTGCGTCGCGCCCTGGCCTTGGAACGGCGTCATCGGGTGCGCTGCGTCGCCGACGAGGACGGCGCGGCCGCGGGTGTAGGTTGGGAGCGGGTCTGCGTCTTTGACTTTGTAGAGGTGGATGCTTTGGGCGTTTCTTAATGTAGGCTAGGGTGTGAGCGACTCTCTTCTTTTTATGTGTTTGATGGTTACGAGGGAGTGAAGTGGGAGGTGGAGGGGCAAGACTCACTTCATGATCTCCAGCATCCACGGCGCAAAGTCGAAAAAGTGATCCAGCATCTCTTCCGCGCTCCCCTCGGCATCCCAGGACGTGATGCTCTCCACCGAGAGCATGGCGTCGGGGATCCTAGCCACCACATTGAGCAGAGTTCTGTCTCGGCAGGGGTAAAAGATGATGTTGCGGTGCGTCTCGTCGTCGGCCGTCATCAAGTTGAGGAAGCCGCTGTCGGCGGGGTCGATCGCGGCCGGGTACCCTCCCAGGATATCCCGCGCCCCCTCGAGCGGGAACGTGAAGCGGTAGAGTGAGGCACCCGGTGATACCATGTGAGACGGCCCGCCGACGACAGCCTGTCGGACGAGAGAGTGGATTCCGTCTGCGCCTGAGATGTTTCGTCAAACCCTGGATCTTTGTGTACAAGTCCCGATGTGTACATGTATATGTGTGTGTAGTCTTACCAACAATCACATCAGCCGTAACATCCTCCCCATTCTTCAACTTTACCTTCCCCTCCTCAACATCAACACCAACAACCTGAGACCCATCCACAACCGTAGCGGGCGATCCTGAAATTCCCAGCTTGGCCGCGTCCCCCGTTGCGAGCCGCAACAGCTCGTCCCGCAGGTCGCCGCGGTGCATTAGCAGCCACTCGCCTCCAAACGGCTCCGACACGCCCGTTATTTCCCGTAACAGATTCCCCTGCTTATCGTACGTCCTCGAGCCGGCGCACACGGTGGCTTTAACGTTCTCGGGGCTGAATTGAAAGGCCTTTTTCAGCATTTTTGTGCCGTTGGGACCTAGGCCGATGCCGGCACCACGCTCGGGGGTGGACGCGGAGGATGCTGTCGGTTCGTCGCGGTCGTAGACTGTTACGTCGTGTTTTTGGCGGAGGACGGCGGCGGCGGAGAGACCTGCTATGCCGCCGCCTATAACAACCACCCGCAGCTTGTTGGTCGTCATTCTCTCTTCTTGCTTTCTTCTCCTTTTTCTCACTGTCTCCCAGGGTCACATCCCGCCCTAGGTGCGACGTTGAGAGATGAGCATGTGAGATTCCATTGCTACAGCTGGAAAGGGTTGTTCAGTCACAGCGGTAACGATTTCCTAATCCAGCCGGGTCAAGCAGGAAACCTCTTTCTTGAGCATACTTTGGCAGAGTTTTCCTTGCTGAGACATCAAACGAAATTCTATTCATAGTCACGCTCTTGTTTATTTGGCTGATGTTTGCCGAGAGGGATGACAAAGGTTATGGAGGGATTGTGGTGCTCGAACCTGCAAAGAAAACTCAAATGCGACCTGAGTTTGGCTCGAGGAGCGAATGACAATCAGCCCGATGAAGCTCTTGTTGTTCCATGCGTGCGAGGTCCCTGTCGTGTTTCTGGTCGTCGGAAGGGAGGGACCCTCGGATCCGGGCATTTCAGAGTTGGTGATGTCAGTTTATGGTCTGAAGGATGCTAGTAGTATGCTGTATCAGGGATCATATTCCGCCCGATCGGGAGCCGGCGCGGGCGAAACGTGTGCTGTCTGTGGGAGTTCGACCTTCGGCTCTTCATCTCTGGGTCACTGTAAATCGACCGCTGACCTTCATAATATACGTTCTGGTATTCGAGATGTATTCTGAAATTCTGCGTACCTCAAAAAAGAGCGAAGTGCCTGGGTTGAAAGAGACATAAAGGACCTCTGAGTCCAGCACTATTGCCCATGTTCGTTTTCTTTGTCACGTGTTCTTAGACAATCTCGATGTCAGCAAACAAGAAAGAGATATTGCCGTCTTGCCTAAAGGAACGTGAAGAAAGAGGTCAAATGCTTAGACATCAGGGTTCTCGAAGAAACGGCCAGAGCAGTAAGCCGGACACCTTTACCCCCCGCTTCGGGCCGTCTTAGAAGACCCGCATTCGCGCTCCGACTCGGCCTTCGTCGGAGGGCGAGGCCCACAACACACCACGCCAGCCAAGGGGGGGGGGGGAGGTCTCGGCCCCGGTTCTGAGCGTATCGGAGGAATACACGCCGCACGATTGGTCATCTTTCCCAAGTGGCTTTCCAACACCGCATACCGCATGCTCGCAAGCGTCACCACCTCGATCCTCCCTAGCTAGATCGGTATCCTCTTGGCCGCGGACTTTTCTATCGGGCGCGTCAGTATGATTGTGAAACTCCGCTGCATCGTGGAGAATGAATCTATTTGACATGAGTTGATATCCCGAATTTCGGAGAGTGGTTTTGGTGTGTACCACACACTTACGTCTGTATCAAAACTTCATCATCCAAACTATCACCTTAGTCAGACACAGCATCGACAATGACACGGGCAATTCTTGTTTGCGGCGCGACTGGAAAGCAGGGCGGTGCAGTCATCAACCACCTCGTCGAACAGAATGCCGACTTTGAGATTCTCGCCGTCACCCGCGATGCAACTTCCGGGTCCGCCCAACGTCTCTTGAAAAAGTCATCCAAGATTCGCCTCATTCAGGGTAACTTGGCGGACCCTACTGCGCTTTTCAAGACCGCGCAAGAAGTCGCCTCATCTCCCATCTGGGGCGTCTTCAGTGTTCAGGTAACTGCAAAACTCCCACCCCTTCACAACAGCTGGATTTTTCTTTTCCCATTCTGCGACAATAATGCCCGATATTAATGTGCATTGCAGGTGCCAACGGGCTTCGGCCAGGGCGGCGGCGGCGAACTAGGCCAAGGCAAAGCCCTCGTCGACGCATCCCTCAAAGCAGGCGTCAAATTCTTCGTCTACACCTCCGTCGAGCGTCACGGCGCAGACAACGCCACAAACGTGCCCCATTTCGCCCACAAGCACGAGATCGAGCAGCACCTCTTCAACAAGTCCAAGGGCACCGACATGGAGTGGGCCGTCCTCCGGCCCGTGGCTTTCATGGACAACCTCACGGACAACTTCTTTGGCAAAGTGTTTACCACGTCGTGGCGGATGGCGCTCAAGGGGAAGCCGCTGCAGCTCATTGCCGTCAGCGATATTGGCTACTTTGGCGCCGAGGCGTTTCTTCATCCGGAGGCGTACAAGGGCCGTGGAGTCGCGCTTGCTGGGGATGATTTGACGATTGAGCAGTTTGCTGCGGTGTTCAAGAGGAATACGGGCAAGGAGCTGCCTGGGACGTATAGGGTCTTGTGTTGGTTTATCATGGCGATGGTGAAGGACTTTGGATACATGTTTAAGTGGTTTCATGATGTTGGTTATGATGTTGATATTGCGGCGCTGAGAAAGGAGTATCCTGGGCTGAAGGATTTTGAGACTTGGCTGAAGACGGAGAGCGAGTACGTAGGTAGTATTCGATCATGAGGAGTGTGTGTTCTGGGCGGAAGTAGGCAAGAGCTATTGTATCCTTAGTACGGCTTGTATTGTAATGATTGAAGAGAAGGCTTTAACATAGAAATTGAATAACGAAGCATGCTACAAGCTTGTCACTCTAAGATAATGGCATTGGCTCTCTGAGCAGACCTCACTATACTCTTGTATTTACATAAGATCATCTCTAAAAGATGATAAGTCTTGTAATGCTTCAAACACAAAAACCCACGTTCTTTGCACATTATCAAAGGTTTAAACTGGGTAGAAAATTGCAGAGAATGAGACATGGGTCCTGTTCAACTTCTGGAATCCCGCCTAAGGAGTTAGTTATACTAAGGTTAGTGGCACGTGAACCAGGCTTGTAAGAAAGAAACAGGACCTAGTAATCGGTGCATCTGTCTAGCGCACTTGGTCAAGAGTTCAAGGAAGTGGAATCAAAGAGAAGACTTGCAATTAGAGTCAGGGTATCGTTAGTCAAGCTTTAACACAGGGCCTCTCCACATCCACGTGGCACCGGTCTCCGACGAAGCCCGACTCGCACTCAATGCAGCCTTGGCAAGAGCAACTTGGTCTCTCCCCGAAAATGTACGTGTACCTCAAACTCTACGCCATGCTTGCTTGCTTATAACATCAAAAATGAATGTGACGAGTCTCTGACCGACAACTGAGAGTCCGGTCTTTGGTGGAATAGTGTTTGTAAGTCGGGAATCCCGCCATCGGAAGGCCCACATCGTGGGCCGATGCTTAGAGCCAAGACGCAACCGCTTGATTCATGGCATGCTCGTGCAGACTCGTCGGAGGCAAGAGAAGTGTACTTAGTAACATGAAAAAGATAGTACGTACTGCAAACGACTGCAAATCGGACTGGACTTATAAAGTCGAGCGATGCTCGTGTGCATTTCTAGCTTCCCCCTCACATCCCACAGACTGAAAACATCATCTTCCTCAACACAGACCAGCCCCCCAGACCCAACTCGAAAACACCTCTTGAGTCTTCAAAATGTCCAAACTTCTCACCATCTTCGGAGCCACTGGCAACCAGGGCGGCTCCGTCGTGAGGGCAGCCCTCGCCGATGCCGTTCTGTCAAAGGAGTACAAGATTCGCGGCATCACTCGCGACGTCTCCAAGCCCGCAGCGCAAACTTTAGCCAGCAAAGGCGTCGAAGTCGTTTCTGTACGGTCATCCCCCAAACCCAATCACTCTTGATATTGACTAAGAGAGTGCTAACATGAAGAATAGGCCGACATGAACTCAAAGACTTCTCTCGCAGAAGCAATCAAGGGCTCCCACACCGTCTTCTTCGTCACCACGCCCAACTTCACGGGCGGCGCCAGCGAAGAGCAGACCCACGGCAAGAACGTGGCCGACGTCGCGGCCGAGACCGGCGTCAAGCACCTCATCTACTCGTCCCTGCTGCACGTCACGGAGACCACAAACGGCCGCCTCAAGCACGTCGTCCACTTTGACGACAAGGCCGAGGTCGAGCGCTACATCCGCGCCAAGGGCATCCCCAGCTCCTTTGTCCTGCCAGGGTACTTTATGAACAACTTTTCTGTTCTGCAGATGATTCGCAAGGGCGAGGACGGGGTCTACAATCTCGCGTACCCCGTCAGCGACAAGGCCAAGTTCCCTCTCATCGACACCGAGTCCGATATTGGTGAGTAGTTCCTAGGAGTGCCTGGTCTGATGCTAATGCCGGAATTTTGCAGGCAAGTACGTCGTCGCGGCAATTCGCAATGAGAGCACCGTCCTCGGGAAGCAGATCCTGGCAGCCGAGGACTACTACACGCCCACGCGGATCATTGCCGAGTTTGAGCAAGTCACTGGCAAGGCGGCCCGTTTCGTGCCCGTCGACGCTGCGACGTACAAGAGTTTCTTTGCTGGCCCGATGGCTGCCATGGCTGACGAGATGCTCGAGAACCATCTCTTCATTGATGAGCCGGGTTACTATGCTGGTAAGGACTTGAAGGAGAGTCGGGAGCTTTTGGCTGGCGTTGGGCTGAAGGCGACTACTTGGAAGGAGTTTTTGGAGGCGAACAAGGCTGCTTTCCCGTGATCTGAGTTGAGAAACACCTGGTCTGACGGACAGGATGCTGAAAAATATGTAGAAACGAATTTGAGGCAGTGTCCCAGCGTGATGTAGACTTTGCCATATACATACAGCCTTGCTGAGATGATTCCTTAGTGGATGACTTGCCCACATGGTTCGTGTCTCAAATCCAGTCCTTGTACATTGATTCTGAATAGGTATGCGATGGTTTATGGCTCTATTTCAAGCACCAGAAGAGGCCATGAGAGCGCCTCTTGCCAGTAATTACCCAAATGCCTAGCAACGGCGCGGATGATGAAGACGCCAGCATCGGCAAAGGGCCAAAAAGTGCGACAGCGGTGCAGCAAAACGCCGTAATGGGCGAGAATGATGAGGGCCTCGGGACGATGCTTTCGCAGCATATCGACGAAGCCGACTGGTACCTTTACGGAGAACGTCGAGGCGGCCTGGGCATAGTCTCCCTCGTCAAGGACGCGGCAAATATCAAAGCACCACTGCAGAAGACCAATCACTTCGTGACACGCTCTCGCGCTCGACTCACTGAGGTCGGAGTCATTTAAGAGGCGTTTCAGAGACCCGCATTCGTCGCCCGTCGTGCTCATCTTTTTCGCGGCCTCGAGGACGATGTTGAGGACGGGCTGGAGCTCGGTGTTTTGGAGGAAATTCCGGGCCGGCGGGGTGACGGAGTTGACACCGCGGTTAAGGTTGAAGCACTCGACGAGGCGGTCGATGAAGGACTTGAAGTCGGATCGATAGTGAGCGAGGGTGTCGGCGAGGACATGCCTCCCCAGAAGGGCGGAGAAGAGGAAGCGAGGGACGCCGGTGGCTTTGTCATCTCTGGCCACGGTTTCCGTGAGGCGGGTAAAGGATGCGAGAGCGCGGTTTTGGAGCTCCGTGGCGAGGTCTCGGAGCTGGGCGGCCGAGTCGGGATAGAGCTGGACCATGTGGAAGGCTGTAAAGGCGAGAACTTCGTCGAGGAGGTAGGGTGAGTCGACGGCGCGGCGAACGGCAATGTCGACGGCGCTCCGGGCTGGGCCGGTGAAGTGAGGAACTGAGGCTGCATGGTGTAGCAGGATCATGTGTTGCGGTGTGTAGATGGCCTCAGATGGTGCGTTTGGTGTGCCGAATATTGATGAGGCGAAGTCTAGAGATGGAGGAGCCTGGGTGTTGCTCAGCTGCACCGGCGAAGCTGGAGACAGATTCTGGTCACTCTGGTGAGAATTGATGTCGAGATTGACCGCGGCTGGCACGTCTGCAGGCCGCGATGGCAGACCATGAGACAGATGGTTTGGCGCATGAGTGACTTCGGAGTAGTTGCTTTGTTGATGAAGAGCTGGTTGTGAGGGCAGCTGTGCGCGCTCAATCATGGCAATCGCGTCGTTGTTTGCAATGCCGCGGCTGCTTTCTCTCGAGCCTGGTGATGGTGATGGGCCATTCCCTTCTCGTGTGCCCTGTGCCCTCTCGCCTTGCGATTGAGATTGTTGCGCCTGTCTGCGCTTCTGCTTGCTTACTTTTGGTGGTGGGAAGAAACACGCACGTTCTGCAACCTCGCAGTTCGCGCACGAGGGCTGGCGCTCGTCGCAGCGAATGTGACGACGCTTGCACTCTGCGCATCCATTGCGAGACTTCTTGTGAGAGCGGCGAGTCTCTTGAGCCCTGCCGATGTCTGTGACTGTGCTTCCGGTGTCGCTCGAGTCGTTGTGACGCGCCGAGGCGCGAGTTTCTCGAACCATGCTGTCGTCGCGCGGGCGATTCTCGTCAATCACTTTTCTCCGTGGAACGTGCGGGAATCTTAATCCCAGTCAGTGCTCCCTTCTCTGCTGTCGGCATTCGCGATTCTTGATTGTGCGTCTTCTTCGAATCTTGGTGCATTCTTTGATGACAGGCTCTCCATGGATTCAAGTAGATGAGCCGAAAGTATTTCTTCAGTACGACCATCAATGAAAAATTCCTTGATCGTCCCGCGTACGCAAGCATCACAGCACAGCCCCGCCTAATTGACCGCATAGCCACATCCTCGGATTCCCCCCATCAATAACAGCCATGCTACGCTAGTCTTCCGCAAAAAATTGTGCTAAAAGCTTAGTAATACCACCCGACGAGTGAGAGAAGTGATAAAGTAAATGATTTGCGACCAAATGGCATCAAACGTTAGTTTCATTCGAGTGCCTTACTGCATAGATTCAATCCCTGAGTAAACAGATCGTGGCAAATAGCCAGTGTTATGGAAGAGATGATAGAGTGAGGGATTCAAAAGCTCACCTGTATCCCACCCCCTGCACAATCTTGTCATACCTATTGTCGTGATGGCTTCAATCATTCAAAGGCTCACCATCCATCACGTGACCTTGTTCCCATAATCCCCGTGACCCACATTCGCTCTCGCATCTTATTCCTGCGCAAGGTCTATTGGAGAAGCCTTGTCTGTTGGTAGTATGCATCAGCGATGTGGGTTTAAGTATGTCTACCCTGTGAGGGGGCGCACATCACATCCAGTAGACATGGGCACGTTTTCGGACCGACTTCGAGAACCCGAGTTGCCATTCACTGGGCAGATCACACTGGAATTCTCCCAGCCATGACTTTATGAGAGATCCTCTTACCGTCCTGACCCGGTTGACGTTTTTCTCTCTCTCTCTCTGACCCTCTCTGAAGCTGCATGAACCACCTCATGGGATTGTAAGAGATACAATCGGGCCCATACAATTTGATTATTAAAAGAAGTATGAAACAGTAACTATCGGTAATAGCGTATATTCTCTGTGAATAATTGCCAACCTTTCCTGAATATCACTTACAGCTTGCATGATCACACCGATCCTACCTACTTTTGCAAGTACACTCCTAGATGAGTATACCGTATAGGGTCCCAACTTGAACACTACCTTATCCTTTATAAAGAGACTGGGGGCTCTTTTTTTAGTAAGATAGTCCTGCTAAGTAGTGTGTCAGCACACTTGAGATTTACACAAGGAACATGAGACCGGACTTGATGCCCTTGACATAAACTAACCTTACTTGCTAACCGACCCACCAGCTCTAGCCCGGTGAGTGGGACAGAGTTGAGTCCTTGCCTTCGAAGTTCATGAATACTCCGTAAAGTATCCCGCACGATAAACTTTGACTACTACCCAAATAGGCAATAGTCCCCTCGGCGCTACTTAGTTACAAGCGATGAACAACACTCCCAATTCTTGGTCAGAGCCTCGTCATCCTTCGGCAATCCATATAGAGGGAGTCTGTATTTGATTTTGGGTACAACGTTCGAGACAGCACACTGCAGATTAGCTTCTCGCAATGCCACCTACAATCTGCAGTAGACCAATTCATGGCCAGTTGACCTGACGTACACCGAAAGGGGGGGCCCCGGGGGGGGGGGGGGCAGCCCATGGCATGAGAACTGGTCTGGAAGCAATCTTCTGAGCTAAACAGAAGTATGGCATCGCCTTGTTGGGGATGAAGATGTCTTGTCAGTTTTCATGTGGTATCTTCAGTCTCCAAGGAGACGTATTGTTCTGCTCTTCACCTCATACTCGCGCGAAAAGAGAGACGTCGCTTAGTAGCATTGTAATGAGCTCCCTCCATTCTTGCTACAGGCCCGGTGCTCCGGAGGGGCTGAGATCACAGCGATTCTCGGGCGAGTGCAGCCCCTATCACCGCCAGTGACGAGGCTTCTTAGCACATGCTAGTGTCTTGGCTCAACTCTTCAATGGTATGGCAGACTTCCAACAGCACTGCAAGTCCTTCAAGTCTTCAGGTGGTGGTGTTTCTTTCACGTCGGATTATGTCACGTCCGGAACGGAACTCGCGCGCTCTCACAGAAGCCAATGCCACGTGCGGCATCTTCACCCAGCCTGTAACGGTTGATCTCTGCCGCATCACAGCTCAAGTCCTTGGCTCGAACCGTTCCGGATTCTGGTTCGAGGTATGGCTTCCAGATGACTGGTCCGGGAGATTTCTTGCGACAGGCAACGGCGGATTGGGCGGCTGTATCCAGTACTCCGACGTCAGATACGGTGCCTCTCCCGGATTCGCCATCATCTCGACCAACAATGGGCATCAGGGGTACACCGGGGCCCCTTTTCTCCATAATCTCGACGTCATCCAGGACTTTGCATAGACAGAATGGTGTTGCCGTCGGCAAGGATATCACGCAAGAGTTTTACGGAGGGTCCCATGATAGGAGCTACTACCTTGGATGCTCCACTGGCGGACGCCAAGGGTTGAAGGTAGTCTAGTCTTTCCCTGACCTGTTTGACGGTGTCGTTGTCGGAGCGCCCGCTATTGCGAGGAACAACCTAACGTCGTGGGCTATTCAGTTTTACCCTTTTGTTGGGACACCTGAGTCTGTGACGTTTATTCTTCTGGACTTGTGGCCTATCATTGATCAGTACATTCTGGATCATGATGATCACCTTGATGGTGTTGCAGATGGTATCATGGAGTTGCCTAACGTCTGCAATTATAACCCCGACGACCTCTTGTGCACTGAAGCCCAAAGCACTAGCTGTCTTACAAGTACACAACTTCAGACGCCCAAGAGTATCTACTTACTCCTGCTGGATGCAGCTGGAGGCCTGGTGTACCCCAAGATGCAGCTCGGATCCGAGTTCACCGAAACTGGGATACCATGACCCTCCGTCCCAAAAACTATACCGTTGCTTCGGGCCTCGACCACTTCAACATCGACACATAAAATGGTGATCTATCAGCTTTCAAGAAGCGCGGTGGCAAGCTTCTTCACTGGCATGGTTTAACCGATGGTGTTCTGTCGAGTGAAAATTCCCCTCGCTATTACGAATACGTCTCGCAGACTATGGGCATGGACTCGGAGGCTCTTGACGAATTCCACCGATTTTTCCGTCTCTCTGGCATGTCCCATTGTGGCAGGGATAATGGGGCGACCTTTATCGGCCACCAGTCAGCAAGTACTGCCAGTCTGGCCCTGAAGGAAAATGTGCTGATGGCGATGGTTCGAAAGGTTGAGAGCGAGGTGGCCACCGACACCATCGTGAGCACCAGTCACAACTACGGCACCAAGGACAATGGTGTTGATTTCAAACGCAGACACTGCAGATGGCCTTACCACAATGTGCACCAAGGCGTTGGCGACTACAAAGATTCTAATACTTGGAGGTGTACGCTTTAATCGCCTATCTATCTAATAAGCTCAGACGAACCAGCCCAGCTGGTGCGGAATTTCAGTCAAAAGACCTCCTCAGACAATTGTACCCTACGTTTCTCTTCTCACAATCTGACTGATCCTTTTCTGCTGTGCTGTGAAAGACCAGTGTTGAGGTGAATACTCGATGGCTTGCCGCCTGCGGCACTTAAGAATGAAAGCTTCCTTCCCTGTCTACAAGGCAGCTTAAATAAGACAGAAGTTGTTCCGTCATCCAGTCCTAGTGTACTTTCCTCTTCTATTTTCGTCCCAGCTTGGTGAATAGCCACCATAACCTTTCCTTTGTTGTCCCATACACTAGACGATCTACCTCGGATGATATAATCCCAACAAAGCGTTTAAATGCTATAAAGGAATGTGCTCGAAGTAATTAAGTGCCGCAGAGGAATATGCTCAAATCAATTGTCAGTCCTTTTTATTAGAACAAACGAGCATACTATCTAATTTTCGAAATCATAGGAGAATTCACTCTGTTAACACTGGCTGGAGGCTGGCCCTCTAGGCTCGGAAATTTCAATCTTTTGGACTCATTTCTTGCCGTCGACATCCCCTCATTTGGACGGAACAACACCAAATCTTCCTCCAGAAAGGGCAAAGGAGTCGACCGATCATTTCCTGGCTCGTCAGCCACTTCCAGAAAGTCGCCTACGACTCTCGCAGATACGATGGCTCGTGAACTACGACTCTTACAAACTCTCAACAAATAGCTCGAACGGGATGGATGGAATCTCCGGGTGCGCTCGTTACTCGAGGCTCCCGGATGACATGCCTCCCCTTGCTCCATCGGCGGAAGGCAGAGCCATCACCAGAGCCCACAGTGCCTGTGGGATAATTTCTTCAGCTGACAAGGCAGAGAAGTTTCTTTTCTGCCTAGTTCTTCTTCGCCCTAGAAGCATCTCTTCAACCTCCAGATCTTTTCAATCAAAACAACATCGACAGCAACATACCAAACCACAACCATGGCTACATCCCACAGCGTAAGACCCAATTCCATCAGAGACCTTAGAATTCTGCTAATCAATCGTTCACTCGCTAGGGGACCGTCGAAGACGACGTCTTGGAAGACAGATCCGAGAAAGTCGGCGTCTCCGAGGAGACCGAGAAGCCACTGCTCGCGTACAAGCCAGAAGAGGAGATGTTCTTGTGGAAGAACCAGAGCCCTATAGTTCTCTGGCAACTGCAGCTCTTCCTCGAAGTAAGATATTTCCGCATTTGAAGACCCCCGAATGACCTTGATCGTCATGCTAATCGTCTTGTTGTTTCTAGGCTCTCGTCGCAGCCCATGACGAGGCCGAAGACTGTATGATCGACCTCGAGATCGATACCTACCTCACCAAGAGATGGCGCCGCCGCAAGCGTGTCAAGTACACGAGGGGACTAGCGGTCTACAAGGCCCAACGCAAGGCAGTACTCAAGATCGAGATTGGAGTCATCCGCGACGGTAATATGGAGGAGGCACTCCAGGCCGCTTTCGATCGTGTCCAAATTGCTCTCATCGAGAATATGGCGCGAGTCAATGTGTTGTTGAGCATGCTCTGAGCGAGCCGTTTTGGCCTCGTGTTTGGGATGTTGGCGGATCGGAGTTTGGATGAGACGCTCGGCCGGAAGAGCCCAGTAACGAATCGACGATGGAAGGAATGGGCACTAAGTTTTAGCACGCGTGGCTCGAGATGAACCCGCGAGGATAAATGCGATGAAATACCAACAGAACCACGGAAAGATGCTATATGTGACACTGCTATGGGACAAGGCTTGTAATTAAGCAGTTGGTTTGGCGGGAGGCAACCTGGGTCAACCTGGTGACAGCTGAGTCAGATCCCTGACTGAATCGCCTTCCTTCATTCATGCTCAGGCCTGAGAAGCTCTTCAGCCCTACCGCGGTTATGCTTTTGAACTATACTTCTTTCTTTCTGCAGATTTGACGTGTCGCTGAACTGACAGAATCTGGCAAGCGAAAGGAACATGGGTAGGTGATATGGTTCCAACATAAGAAAAAGCGTCAAAGAGCACTTTCCTTGCTGAGCGCTTCGGATTTCCACAGCTGGTACTACCTGGTCGTTGATCTCACTCTCCCTGTCTGTTGTCAAAGTCGCTTACCTTATCTACCTACAGGTCCTCATCTTCCTACCTTCAACATCTCCAAGGCTCCCTTTATCTCACAAGAATCCAACTTCAACCGATCAGACGCATTGGACTCTCCGTCTCCCGCTTCGTGCTTCGCGACCCAAGCAAGCCCACGCACTCATGTCGTACGAATAGTCGAATTCCAGACATTCGATGATGGCCGACTCAGTCAATGTACGTCTCCTCCCAATCGGCCCAGGGCAAGTTCGTTGACGAAAAGACGAGCAAACCCGCTGACGCATGATCAGGGCAACGGTAACCCGCCAACGAGTACCCCCACATCTGGCAGCATAAGCGCACAAGACATAGCGGCCGTGACAAAACTCGTATCACACGTCCTCGAACATTTGGACACCCGGGAGATTCAAGAACACCCCAAGACTGCGGAAGACTACCAGATGCTCTTGAAGAAGAAGGAAGAACTCATGAGCTTGTATAACAGAGTCTTGCAGGTGCTTCGCTTCACTCGACTTAGGCGCGTAGGGGAATCGCAAGCTCCAACAATCGAAACAGTCGATGAGCTTGGGACGGGTTATTCAACATTGCTCAAGGGCGTTGAGTCTGTTCTTGCACGAGTCATTGTGTGGATTGAGGAGTACGAACACGACAACGGGATCAACACTGGTGTTTCGGGGGGTCAAGCTGCGCCTACGGCCTGATCGGAATCCTTTGCGTCTGTCGAGAACACCCAGGTACCTAGAGTGTAGGATTCGCGCATCGCAAATTTCAGCGGCTATGTTCATGTTAGCATCGAGGGGGGAAAAACATGGCGACAGGGTGAGCACATGCAAAGGCCGCCAAGCTGTTCCCATCAGAATGAGTGTAATAAAGGAGTTCAAATTGGTCCTCACTGTTGGTTTTCGATTAAGTGTTTCGTCCCTTTCGGATGCTAATCAAGACCAGGCTCTTTGGACGGTTGGACCTCCCCCCCTACATAAGTTCAGCCCCCATGTTCTTGGCAACAACCTAAGTCAGAGACGCCCCGACCGCGCTCTTAAGCTTCTCCTTCCCGCTGACTCAGTTCCTTCAGTTCAAATGGTTCAAGTACCCGGACCGGTAAGTAAGTTAGTGGGCCCGGCTAGGGCATTCTGTTTTCTATAGGGGGCGACCTGCCAGGATGACTACTCAGGCCAAGTCGCTTCTTTAGTTGCGTTCTCGTTCTCGCTAATTATGAGACGTCAAAAGAGCGCTTTCACTCGGAGCATGAATAAAGCCCTAAACTTTAAGTTCACGTCAGCAAAACTACGCGCGCGCGCGGATGACTCTAAAAACCATTGCCTCGAAGCGCTGGAGTTTTTCTCGGCGGCCACAACGGTCCAGGTTCTTGAATATCGGAATTGGGAATCCTGAAGCAAGGACGGGACTCACGGGAGGCTAATAACGGCTTAAACCACTGTCGATGTGACACTCAATGTCCAGGTGGCCCCCTACCAACACCCCTGTCCGTCAAATTTCTCGCTGTTATGAGGAGGACCTTTGCAGAAATTCTTTCGCATTATGGCTATGATTCTGGTATTATAGGCTCTTGGAAAAAGCTTGCTCGAAGAAGAAAAAAAGGATCGTAACTGAGGAGTAAGACGATTCCAATCTTGGGGATCTCATTAACGGCAGGAATCGTGCTAAAAAATGGCGACCACCTCCATCTGCAGGATGAGACCTCTGACAGCCACGGAGGGTGTCAAATGATACGCAAAACTCATGAGAGTGATCGTGGACGGAGTAGGCGTAAAAGAGAATTACCCTCCATACAGACACTGTTTCTACTTCATGTTCCAGTGACGAACATACGTCGCATCGGGATTCGGGACTCACGTGGCCACGCAAAGTGACAAGACTCCGAGGACCCCGAAAAAGGATGACTGCGGAAATTGTATGCCGAAAAAAGGGAAGCAAGGTCCCGCCAAATACAGATGAACACTTTAATAACAGCTCCAAAGCAGATGCTGCGGGTGATGCCGTGCATGAGCTCAAATGGAGTAGCGACATCTCACTTCCGTGTAGCGATTGCGAATCACTTCGACAACCGCAAACCACCAAAGCTCAACGAGGGGCCAGAATATTAATTCCCAAAAGACAGGCAGTCGTTCAAAACTATCTACTATATGAGGTGAGGAACAGAAGACAGGAAGCGATGGAAAGCAAGAAGGGCGACTCAGAGCGAAACAAGACTCGACACCAGGGAGAAGCGGAACGGGTCAGATTCTCAAAAGCATGACGATGGGTGCTCCGATTCAGATACGAATGAGATACACCACTGTCGGCAACACACTGGGGAGAAAGAGACGTTGGCCGAGGGCTCAAGGTGGTGAGGAATGGGGAAAGCTTCACAACCTCCCGGAACCTGGAAGGGCCTATGAGGATATTCGAATGATCCGTCATTAGTCTCTTATATCCATTTCTGATCAAGCTTTGACCTGAAGAACTGAGCATATTGGTTGTGAGGTTTATATAGGCAACGCGGCGTATAGGGAGGGGTTTCATACAGACTGAAGTAGTGCTGTTGAGAACTCGATTGGAAGCCGCCCCTTCCTTTGAAGCTTGCATGGCAGTGACGATTTGCTTCCCTGCACCAATAAGGTAGCTAGACAGGCGCAGATACCTCAGGTATCTTGTCTCGGGTATCTGATGGTGTTTGGGCTGTTCTTCGTCCCAGGCCAAGGTGAAGATAGAAGTGAAGGTGAGTCTGGATTTGGCAGCAGGCACCTTCCTCAACCTTCTGACCCAGCTCCTGCCTTCTCTCAATTGCACCTTCCCTCTCAAGCACCTTTGAGACGGCTTCCCGACGCGCTGTCAAAACAATCTCGCGTTCTCCCTGTCGCATCCTCTATTCATCATTAACCACACATTGCCTCACTCTTGCCCCCTCAAACACACTCTTCCGCACGCACTTCGCAAAACAGTTCATATTACCTTGAGATATTCACATTCGCGCATCCCTCAAAACACCAATTTCAACGAAACTCACAAGCACAACGCGTACCAACTGTAAGAATTTCTTTACATACCAATCTTGACTTATTTTGCTGATCATTGCAAGCGTACCGTTTCGCCAAGATGCATCTCGTACCTGAGACTGCCAACCTCATTGAGGTGAGTGCTTATACTGCTTTATTCAACCGTGATGGATCCGTGTTGAGGTTGATGAGCGCCGATGGTTGAAATACTGACCATTTATTTGCAGGTGCTCACGATGGAGAGAGAGGCCTTGATTGTTCGTGTCTACGAGACCAGCAAGAAGATTGCTGCGGCTGAAGAAGCCTTTGAGAACGAGAAGAACCAGCGCCTCAAGGAAGATGCAGAGGCCAAGAATCGCATCATTCAGCCCTTGAACCGTGAGCCGATTGAGCTTATGGGAACCGAGCACCACGTTCACCGCCCTTCCGCTTCTGCCCGCACCGGCAACGCTACGTCGACTGAATATACCAATACTATCGAGGGAACCAACAGCATCAGCCCTATCAATGACAACGTCAATGATTGCTGCTGGGGACGTATTCCTAGAGCGTCCGAGGACGCTGGAGGTGGCTTACAGAGCATCAAGTCCGAGCGTTCAGTCCTGTCGGACACATCTAGTCGTGGGGACACCTCTGTCAATCGCAACTCCCCCTTGTCCTATCGTTCCGTCAGCCCGCCAAAGGACACGCCTGTCTTTGACCAGGTCCTCACCAGCGACAACGTCGCTGCTTTCAAGGCTCAAGTCATGCATGAACTCAAGGACGAGCTCAAGAAAGAGCTTCAGACCAGAGTCGACGGAGACTTCAAGCGCTCAATTGAGAAGCGCCTCATCCAGGAGCTCGCGCAGGAGCTCACTGGCGACATCAATGGCCGCATCTACTACGAGCTCAGAGAGGAGCCCAAGCATATCCTCAAGCGCGACATCACGTTCAAGCTCAAGCAGGACGTCAAGCTCAAGCAGGACGTCAAGCACGAGATGAGACTTGAGATGGGTAGCCAGCTCAAGTACGACATCATGGAGGACGTGAAGGGCGATGTCATTGCCGAGCTCAAAGAGATCCAGAACGGAATCAACAATGACCTAAAGAATGAGATCAAAGAGGACGTCTTCACCAGACTCAAGGTGGCTCTCATGCAGGATGCCCTGGATCAGCTCAAGGATACCATGAAGGGAGAGATCAAGCACGATGTGTTAAAGATCGTTCACGAAGCCCAGAAGGCCATCAGCACCACTCTTGCGACCAAGGCCGAAGAGCACATGCTTCCTGCTATTCGAGGTGCTGTCCCCATCATCCAAGAGTGCGTTGTTGGAAACGTTCAGGATGCCCTCGACTTCTACTTGAAAGACCAGCTCTCCAAGAACATTGACGACGCCATCAAGAAGAAGACTAGGGATGACTCTCGGTGGATGCTTGCCCAGATTGAGGCGTTGGTTCGCGTCACCGTTGCTGCTGAGGTTGCCATGATCAAGTCCGCCATGGAGGCTGATATCCACAAGGATGTCAAGTCCGAGATGGAAGAGGGGTTTGGACTTAACATGGAGGGTCTCGCCCATGATGTTGTTTAGGAGGAGCTTGAAGTCTACGAGGAGCGTATCCAGCCGAACACAACTTGCGTCTACCATTAGTGAGATGTCTTTAGTTTACGGTCGGTCGTACACTATTAGCAACGTCTGCATGTGCTTTCAAGACTAAAGTTTCTTGTCGTTTGGGATTGAAAGGGTGAAGGATTGGGCTACCTGGTGGACCGCCAGCTTCAGCATTGGGATCCAAGGATAGGGTATTCAGAGGAAACAAGTTCGCTCTTCCAGTCAGCCTAGTATTTCCGACTGTGTAGGACAATCCAGATTCGACGAGAAAATGCCACCGGATTGAATGTCCAACCAATCTCCCTTGATTGATAAAATCCCTCACTGGGTGCGATTTGATGAGGCTCGGTCCAGATTCAATCGAAGTGCACCTGAAGTTTGTCCTGCTTGTCTACAAAGAGTCGACGGCGCACCCGAGGTGGCGCCTCAATCTCTATGGAGGAATAAGCAAAGTTGCCATCGCCCGAGGCAAAACCAAAGGCAATGCTCTTTGGGTATAATCTTTTTAGAAAGGCGCGTCGTCAAAGTACTTTTAAGCCGCACTCAACGCCCAAAAACGCCGTAGGTCTAGTTATGTCACTGGACGAATGTGGTTGGCAGAGAAGGCTGGTGGGGGTGCAGTGCAGCAAGCTCGCAGGCCAATGGGACCGCCGAAAGACACCTCCAGCGGGCCGGTCCGGGGTTCAGCCCAGATTGGCCCAAGTGTACTTAATGGGTAGGAGGGACACGTCCTGAACCAAAGGTAGTCTAACATATACCCCAAGCAAGAACAGTCGAGTGGACTCATCTGGGTAGCCAAAGTTTCAACCCAAATAGAGAGTATACCTTACCTGATAGCTTGGTATCCGGCGTAGTCCGCTTGTCTTGGTAACAACTGTGAGATGAGTCGGATTTGTGACTCGCGTAAAGACTCACTGGCTTGTCATAGCCTGTACGGATAGTTCTACTAGTTAAATCTTGTGAAGAAAAAGCTTCGTGACAGATTTTTGGAATCTTGGAGCTTGATGATCGCTCTTAGTCGCCTCCATCTCAGTTGGAAGACTCAAATGTTGCGGTTGGTGCCTAATACGCACGACACGTCGCGCGGCGTGGGCGCGTGGCCGTTTGCACAGAATCTGCCTCCACCCGCAACTTTCCCAGCCTAACACTTCGGTTGACCCTTTCTACCCTTTGCGCCCCCATCAAGGTGAGATCCTGGCAAACGGCACCCTTCATCTTTCCCTTCAGCGCATATCAACCTTCATCTTCATTACTCTTCATACAGGGAGTAGCATCGACCAAACACACAAGTCCGAGTTTCACTCCACATCGATCGTCTGAATCCCTCATCAATCAGGATGACCAAAAAGAAGAACGCACCCAGAAAGAAGCAGAAAAAGGGGACGAAGGCCAAACAGGTCCGTCGAGAGGCCACTGAGCAGCTGGACGACGGCAATCAGGACCAGCCCAAGAAGCAAGTGGCCATAGACGAGAATGGCAGGAAGATGACGGTTATCATGGGAAGGGAAGCGGTATGGTTGGCCTCTCAGCTACCTACGTATCTAATAGTGTGGAAGTTACGGAAGTTAACTAGCATCATCGCAGGAGATGGACAAGGTCTGGGACCGCATGCAGATGACCTTTGCCATTCAATCTCTGTCCAGCACGATCTCCGAAAGGCTCGAGGGCGCCCGCGCAGCCGTCAACACCCAGCCGACGGCAAAAAATACTAGGCGGGAAACCTTCCAGAAGGTGAAGGAGGAAGTTAAACGACTCCTTTGTCGCATGAGAGATGCCATCAACGCCAACAATAGGCAGGCTGCTTAGCAAGGAGTTCAGATCTCGGACCTGGTTCGAGCAGGTGACCTCCACGATATCCCCCAAGAATTATCGCTGACAAAAGCTAGGTTTCTGTCGACTTGTCACTGATGGAAGGCTTGAATATCAAAGAGGTCGTGACAGGATTCGAGTTGGACCTGCTCAAAGTGTCGATGAGTTTGAATTGGTGCATCAGCGGTCTTCCTCAAGCCACTCAGCTAGTGGACCCTGACGGCCTTGACTCTGTTTCCGTGGAGAATGACAGAATGCGCCTTAGAGGTGGTTGAGAGCTTCACAGATGGTGTCCATCCTGATGTGGAACATCGCGTCGAGGCTTGACTGTTTTGTCTGCAGCAAAGAGGTATTTGAGGGGATGTGAGGGAACAGGTACAAAGGCTACTTTGTGTAATTACATATCCATGTCTATGTGCCCAACCACTCTTCCGACTTAGTGCTGGTTGTTCTGAATGAAGTCTCAAAATGGCCGTTCAACTGACACTGGGGCATCAGCAATGCCCTTCCTTCCCTCTTTCCTATCTTTGAGATGTGATGGTTTCCGTTCCAGCGTCCGATGCTAATCCTTTCTTTCCTTTGCTGAACCAGAGTAGACTATGTTCCATTGTTGCTTGCCACTTCTCATTCGAGCTTACAGTATAGTTATGACCCAGCCGCTTTCTCATTATAGCCTCTTTGCCTTTCGTCTACTCCATACTAACATAGAGTTGTCGTCGGAAGCTTGGCAGGGGCCTATCTAAGGTGTACTCGATGATTTATGTGCACTGGCTAGTGTGAGATAGCCTCTGATTGAAGCCAAGAATCAGCGTTATTGGCTTCGAGAATGGCGCCACGTGACGAGTCTATAATGGTGAAGATGCTTTGTTTGACGCCATTTCCGCTCTCACGGGGCAATGGGCGCCTACATCCGCTGTCAGAGATCGTCAACGACTACATGCACTGCGAACAGGTCTCGGAGCACCGACAGCTGGGAGATTCAGGTCAAGAACGATGGCGTGACAAATTAATAATGTTACACGTTCCTCTATCGACATAAACAAACACCCGAATCAATAGTAAGCAGTGGTCTTTCTGCCCTCCCGAAGTCGGGAAGGCAACCAAGTTGCCTCGGTCTTTGGCTTGGAGCCTTGATCTTGGCTTCCCTCTCCAGTCTCACCAGATCCAAGTCCCTTGGCCTTCTTCTGAGGGCCTCCTTCAGTATCGTCGTCCTCGTCGCTGAGAATCCGCTTCCGTCCGGTCTCCTCGAGGCGGGCACTCATCTGCTCCTTCATGGCAGCCATCTCAGCTTTCATCTCCTCGTGGCCGTGCTGTAAAGCCTGTATCTCATCACGGGCGATCTTGTCACAATGCTCCATCCGACCCAGCTGAATGTCTCCGGTATGCTCATCCGTACTCCCTGCCTGGCGAGAAAGAGCAGCAGCAAGCTTGCTCTTGAGCTCAGCAATCTCGGCGCCTTGGCCCTCAGCCACCTGTCTCATGGTATCAATATCCTGCTGCATAGTATTGATAGTCTCCTGAAGCTTCTTGATATCTCTCTGCATCAAGCTGCCCTGCTCAACCGCGAGGTTGAAGTGCTTCTCGATAACCGCGGCTCTCTCCTTGATCTCTTTGTGCTTGTTCTCCGACATGGAATGGTTTTCATCGGTCGTCTTCCAGATGAGATGGATCGATCTCTCGTTGAGATGTTGGCGTCTGATCATCTGTTCCCCGTGATGAACAGTAAAGTGATGAAGTCGCTTCTTCTGGCTCTGAGAGTGGGATCGGTCAGTGGCTATTCGCCATGAGAACTACAAGGAACGGAGACTGATAGAGGTTTCAAGAGTACCGATTCAACAGAAGCACCTGAGGTACTCACCTTCTTGTTTCTGCCCGTCTTCTTCTGTAGCTCTGGCTCAGGATGGTACTCGCGATCGTGTGGCACTGCTTTTTCGATTCTCTGATTAGGTGCAGCAACCTTGTCGCTTTGGGGCGACTGGTATCCTTCCGTCGACCCCATGGGCTTTCCGTTCGGGTCAGTTCCCATGTTGGAAAAGACGTTGTTCTCAGTCTCGTGCCATTTCGCGCGGGCTTCGCGGGCTTTCTTCGCATTGTAGTACTGGCGCTGATGCTTGCCGGGGCGGCTCTTCTTCTTTTTCTCTGATGCCATGGAGAGCTTGCGGACGGTGAGAGGCAGTCGTGTATTGAGAAAGGAAGCGAGTGGCAGGAAAGTGTTGAGAAACGGAGGGAATTGTGTGCGTGGGATGACAAGCTGTGGATAGAGAACAAAACCCAGGTGGTGGGTAAGGAGCAAGTGTGAGGAAGATACCCAGGGGATGAAAGTTTTCAACTCGAGCTTGATTGTGACAAAACTGAAAAGTTGATAGATGGTCTAGCGCATGCGTGCTGTAGCCTGTAGTGGGCGGTGAGGGTGGAAGCGAGAGTGTGTAAAAAGCTGGGAGGGAAACCGCGACTGGCTCAAGATGCTCTTTCCTCTTTCACCTTTGCCTCACCTTCTTTCCCCATACCATCGAAAGCTTGACCGCCTTCGTGTTCTCAATGGGTGAAATAGACATCAGCAGCCCCGGATCATCAGAGGAGGCAATAGTGCATACAATCAAACAATATGCGAAGCATCACTTGTCATGCACAGAACCACAAGTATAGAGAATAAGTTGATAGGGCAAAGGGCGAGTTCAAGTGTATTCTCTGGTCGTGATGGAATGTGATGACCTCTCGAGTGTCTGGGGAAATGCTATGTATGCTAAGCTGGGCTGTTTCTGATTGTTGCGATCCTGGCCTTGCAGGGGCGCGGACAGTGAACCAAAATCCTCCAAACTCCTTAGAAATCCTTTGAGCTCTCCATGGCCTGGCAGACCTTGGCAAGGAGGCTCTCCAAGTTGGCGACCTTGCCATTGAGGTCGCCCATCTGACCCTCCAAAGTCTACATGCGACACTCCACAGCCGTAACCTTGTTCATGACCTCGGCCTGCTGGCCACCAATCTCTTGCATCTGCTTCTTGCTGTCGCGGTAGTCCTCGGAGAGGAACTGGTACTGCTCAGTCGCAATGGCGAGCTCGGGTCCAACGTGGTTCGCGTACTTGAGCATGTTCTTTGAAGCCAGAGTCATCTTGTCCGCCTCCTTGACCGCCTTCTCCGTCAGGGCGATAACAGCTCCCTGCTGCTCAGCGAAGGCCTGGATATAGGTCGGATCGGCACCGGAACGCTGAAGAACTCCGACAACGCCTTGAGTGAGACGAGTGGCGTTCTCTTTGGCGTCAATGTTGCTGTGAGTGAGCTCGGAATTGTTCTGTGTCTACATTCAAGTCAGCGAGGGAAACCTTGCTGAGTAAGTCCGCACCCGATATGCCTCGAAATTTGCAGCTTGTCCGCATCCCCAGAGCGGTGTGGTTCCCTTTCGTAGAGTCCTGCACTTCTGACTTACTCGGGACAAAAGTCCGTCTGTGCAGGGAAATATGACCACTGGCACCCTCTGGACCGGTTGCCGGCCAATCCAGACCATGAGCCCACATCGAGCAGTCAACACCATGAGAAGATGCTGCGCTGAGAGGTAGCTCCGGGGTGAAGCTACGAGGCTTGAAAATGGGGTCATCGCAAAGCGCAACCAACCGTTCCTCGCTCCCGAGGCAGGGGAGCGAGTATGAGAAGGACTAAACAGAAACCTCACCTCGACGCGTCGGGGGCATACTGCATTGCCTGGAAGCAGCGAAAGATCTGCTTCCAAGACACCCCTTCGCGCGTCGGTGTAGCACAGGCCTGTAAATTTTTCCACGCTTTGCGAAAGACCAACGCAGACTCAAAGCAAAAAGGCAGTCGAGTGTGAATGAAAAATGGACTTACGAGCTCAGTATTGGCAGAGGCCTCGGATGCCTTGACGCGGATAGTAAGATTGTTGCCGTCCATGTTAGGATTGGATGATCGGCTGTGGAAGAGGAAAATTGCGATTGATTGAGGTATTGATGAAGAAGGTGAGATGGTTGAAGAAGAGAAGAAGAATCGCGAGTGAGAAGGGGGGATTAAATACCTTTCGGAAGAGAGGGTTGGTGATCGGGATCAGTAGGGCGGTAGGGTACGTACCTGACGGATTATTTAAATCTGCTAGCTGATTGAGAGATAATTACCGAAATGAGGCAGGAGGAGAAGCTGAAAGGCGTGATGCCTGAGTTGGTATATTCACTAAGGTATTAGGTAGTTCAGATGAGAAGAGTGATCGCGGTGAGTGGCAGGAAAGGAGGACATCATTGGCTCTGGGCTGAAGAAAATACAATTTAGAGACTCAGTGAATTTTCTTGAGCAAGTACGTATCAAATCAGGTGACTTTATCACAGAATTACAGAAATTAAGGCAAGTCACAATCTGAAGAGACGAGTGTGGCTGGTGGGTAGGAGCAGGTGAAGTTGAATTTCGACCGGGAAGGGCCGACCGATGCCCACACGGGACGGCGGCGGTGGAGCTACAACAACCGCGACTTTTCACATTAAGGTACGGGCATCACATCTAGTAGTATTCGCTTTTTAACCACATATCATGGGTCTTTCTAGACTTTATGTTAGGAGATCTGCCAAAAGAGACCTTTTTCATAGAGAAGAGTCATTACGAAGTTCGTGATGTGCGAGGGAGATGCCGCTTCGGTGGATCAGGTGGTCGAAGTAATGAAAACCTTACGGCAGAGTATTCATGATGGTACTTATGGTGTTACTGGTTCCAACCGGAACAATAGAGTATATTTCAGGCTCGGGATATTGCATAATTGTCAACTATCTACTTTGAGTCTCAGAACAGACACAAGACCAAAATAACCCCCCAACCCCCCCGGATCCTGAAGCACACGTCTGCATACTGATTCCAAAGTTCGAAAGCAGCTTGACGACTGGCGTCGATGAAGCTGATTCCATCTGCTTGCAAAGAATTGACCATCTTATGCTTCAGAAAGAGGACCAAAAGAACAACCACCTGCATTTTGAGAATCATGGCGGGGCTTGCTGGCCAGGTGAAAGGGTTCAAGCTTCTTGTTGACCTCCGCCCACAACTGCGCATTCACTGCAAGTTGTTTCTTTTTCTCTTCCTCAAATTCCTTGGCCTGGTCTCGAACCATCTGTAGAAGGTGACCAAGACCATAAAACATGAACGCTGGTGCGTGCGTGTGGAAGCAAGGAACTAAAGAGGAATTGATGCCCGTGCCGGTAAGCTGACAGTCGTGGCAATTCCGAGTTGCATTATACATGCGCATCAAGGCTTTGACCGCCTCCACCATCTGCATATTCACGTCCATGCTCGTAAGGGCGTTTTCAGCGGATTCGTTTTTGAACTCCCTAATCTGATAATATCCGTCAAAAACAGGAAGTGCTGCACCCATTAAATTGAAAAAGTCGAACTTCAAGCATTAGCTTAGGAACCTGGATGCATTCCAGTTTGAAGTAGGGTACTCACAGGCTCTTTGTTGGTTTCGGCACCAGTACCTTCTGGGACTTCAAGTCGGGTGAACTGAAATGGCTACCGAGTCATCAGTAAGGTAATTGCGTGGACGCTTATGAGACACTTGGGACGTAGGTGATGCACATACAATATTTCCGGGGTGTGGAAACCTGCTTCCCGACATTATAGTGATTCTCGGACGAGGCGCGTAATCTTCAAATTGAGTTACGTCCTGGACTACTGAGAGTCAAAGGAGGAAGGCAAGGGTAGAATTGGTCAGTCCAAAACCCCAATTGCGAACATACTAGCAGATATTGAGACGGAGGAAGTCTTCGACTTGTGAAGCAGCGAGTGGCAGATGGCCTCAGAAGCTTTAGTTGTGTGTCGATGCCGCAAGAGGTTCCAAGCGTTAGCGGGTTGATTTCTCTGAGTGTTTGACGATCGAGGAGCGGATGCAGTGTCTCTGGACCCAAAAGACAGACAGATTGTGGTAGACTTATAGCATCTGATGAGCCTACCTGGACAGCATGACGATGTATGCAATCGCCTACTCATCCTAGCCGTGAACAGAGAGCTATGGAACCGGCACCCGGGGTGGTGTCCCCCTGAACACGGTCAAGAGCAGCAACAAGGAGAAAGTTCGTGACTCCATGTCAAGAGCCAGGGTTCGATGAAAATTTGGGTGTCTTCCCCTCCTGAACAGTAATTGAGGTAATTGATGGTCAAAGGTTGCTGATAGCGGGCATGTATCAGGGAAATTCTTGGCATCGCTTGATTACCTGCGATGAAATTAAGCGGCGGCGCGGACTCTTGTGGGTTATTTGCTTCTCACCCTGTTTGTTGGCGCCATCTTGGTTGGTCCAGATGCTGGCTTTCTTTTAGGTGTTGTTTGGTTTTCTTGTGACTCTTGCGTATCTAAGATAGCTAAGCGCCGGTCAATGGGTAAAGTAGAGATAAGAATAAAGACACCTTTGAAATTTGGGTAAACCGTAAGGAGCAAGCCTCCTGATGGCGACCCAAGCGCAAGGGTAGTCAGGTAAGGAAAATCAAAGACAGTTCGATACTTACTTAGCTGAGCTTGAAACATGCCGAGTAGGAGCAGCAATGGCGTGATTGAAACCTCGCCAGAGAGGAACGGCCGGTAGTCACCCGGGTCAACGTAGTTGTGGTCCTGCCGGGTCCGGGACTGTGGTCCGGGGACCCTAGATGTACATCACGATAAGGTACCGAGGTACAGTAGACATGTATTGTGGAGTTGCAACTAGGTAAGATGCCAGCAGTCAAGGAAGCATACAATTCCGATTGCGGGAAATAATACTTCTCGCGTATATTTATTGCATGATACTAGTCGAATCAGCCTTTAAAACTCCCCGCAGGGTATGTTGTATTACCGCGGATCCTGAGGTAACTCATGACTTCAACCCTCTACTTGAAAAGTACTTGTGCCCCAAAGCAGAGAGGTCGATGACTTCTGCTCAAATCACCTGCGCCGCCTTACTTTGGCGTATCGCTCCAAGTTATTTACTCTGTCGCGCAGCACGATTATCAGCTCACGCAACTGCTTAACCTCGCTGTCCAAACTCCCAATTGCCTTTGTCTGGTCCTCGTTGAGCTTGTAACACATCAGGTACATGTCGACCAAGGTTTCACAGGCAAAAGACGAGCTGGAAGCAGCTGCGACGCAATGGATCCCCTGGAACACCTTCTCCTTTTGCTCCTCCGTGGTGAGTTGATCGGCAACCCGCTCAGCTACTCCGGGGCTCAGGCTGTTCTGCACCTTATGCGAAGTGTTCAAGTTGGCACCAACTGAGACGAGTTTCTCAGTCTTTCCAGGTTCGTCAGGTCAGCTAAGCCATGGTAGAAGTGGATGTATGTGACAACTCACTCTCTCGCTGTCGGTGAGATTCCACTTGATATACATAATGGGAGCTTGAAGATGATTGGTGATCCGAAGAGTGAAGTTCGTAAGTACTTGACGAACCTGAGACGAAGGCTAGAGGTAAGTCGTATTCTTTCCATAATGGTTTAGCAACTCACCAGCAAGGGTCAGAGGAAAAGGCTTTGCAAGTTTCCTTAATCACAGGCAGATGACTCTGAATGCTGTATCGAAGCTATGATATGGATGGGCCCAGAAGCAAAAGCGGGCGGGTTGGCTCTTCCGAGTATTGACGAGTCGATGAACACAAAAAGAAAAAGTCCTGATCACTGGCAACAGAGGCCTATTTGTAGCTATCGGAGATTACCCTCATCTTTCTTGGATTTCTAAAGAATCCTCTTGGCTCGAATCGAGAGAGCCATTGCGACGGATCAAGATTATCACACAGCTCAAGTAACAAGGAGCTCGGTCAACGAAACCAGCCTTCAGTACAGGCTGGCGATGGTCTAGGGAGAAGCTTTCGCTTTGTCTTTTTCCATGACCTCATTGTTTTGAATGTCGAGTCAAGGGGTTAGCTGCTCCCTCTCGAGCATTTCTTTCCCTTGCCTGGCTTTGTCGAGCCTTAAAGGGGGGGTTAATAAGATTAACGAAAGCCTGTCAGGTAAGCGAGGCAAGTGGTTTGTCCGACACATTAAAGAACTCTGAGAATATCTGGAAGCTGCCGGGAGACTTGCCGGCAATTCAATAGCCTTGGATCCCTCTCCTGCTCGTTTTCTTACTGCACCTCCATCTTTGGTGTCTGTGTCACAGTCAAATTCTTTTGGTCTTAGCATCAAACGCACAGAATAGCCTCGTTTTGTACAAAATCAAAACACAAATGTCTCTATAAATATCTATATCTATATCTATAAATCCTCATGACCGCTTCAAGTACCCATTTTTATCCCTGCTTTACTCATTATAACATAAAAGGCTGCTTGTACCAGCACAAGTCGACAAACAGTTTTACAACTCCCAGTGGTGATTCGCTTTAATCAACATACTTGGGAATGGTGGCCATCACGCCATCCTTGGCAATGAGCTCCATGGCCTTGGTGACCTCATCAATGAAACGCTGGTCGCCGCGCAAGTCGTCACCGAAGAGGATCTTGACGCTGAGCAGCTGGCGCGGGTCGTTGCCGCCGGCCTTTGCCAGGGCCTGGAGCTCCTCGCGCATCGGGTCGTCCACGGTGAAGGTCTTGCCCTCGTCGTCGACGCCGTTGATGTAGCGGAACCAGGCGCCGGCGACGAAGCACAGGCGGCGGAAGGGGCCCGTGGTCCAGATCTGCTCGGCGATGGAGGGCATGATGAACTGCGGGATCTTGCCGGACGCGCCGAGGGCGACGCGGGGGATCTGGTCCATGATGGTGGGGTTGGAGAAGCGCTCCATGAGGGTGTTGCAGTACTCGTCAATGTCGACGCCGGGGATCTCGGGGAGCAGGGGCTTGACCTCCTCCTGCATCATCTGCCAGACGAACTTGCGGTAAACGGGGTGCTCCATGACCTCGTGGACGTACTTGAAGCCGGCGAGCTGGCCGGGGTAGGCCATGGCGGAGTGCGAGGCGTTGAGGAGGCGGAGCTTGTGCTTCTCGAACTGCTCGACCTCGTGGACGCCCTCGACGATCTGTACGCCGACCTTCTCAAAGGGCGGGCGGCCGTCGCAGAACTTGTCCTCGACGACCCACTGCATAAAGGGCTCGGTGACGACGGGCCAGCCGTCCTCGATACCAAAGACCTCTGCGAGCGACTTGATGTCGTTCTGGGAGGTGCTTGGGGTAATGCGGTCAACCATGGCGTTGGGGAAGCCGCCCTTTTCGGCGATCCACGCGGCGATCTCTGGGTTCTTGAGGCGTGCGAAGGACTCAAGCATGGAGCGGGTGATGGAGCCGTTCTTCTGCATGTTGTCGCAGGAGAGGACGGTGAAGGGCTTCTGGCCGTTGGCGTGGCGCCTGACGAGCGCGGCGTAGAGGAAGCCAAAGATGCTGATGGGCTGGTCCTCGTTGGCCAGGTCGTGCTGGATGTCGGGGTGCTCCGATTGCAGCTGGTGAGTGTTCTCGTTGTAGTAGTAGCCGCTCTCGGTGATGGTCAGGGACACGATCTTGGTGTCCGGGTGAGCCATCTTGGCAATGACGGCCTCGCGGTCGTCGGGCGCGAAGAGGAACGAGTTGATGCTGCCGATGACGCTGGCGTTGCTGCCCTTTGCGGAGCGCTCGATGAGTGTGTAGAGATGGTCCTGGGCGCTCAGAACGTCGCGCATGGCGGCGTCGTTGGGCCGGAGGCCGACGCCGCAAATGGCCCAGTCGCGCTCATCGTGCTTCTGGAGGAGGCGGTCGATATAGACGGCGAGATGAGCTCTGTGGAAGCCACCGACTCCGACGTGGACGATGCCCTCCTTGACGACGCTGCGGTCGTAGGTGGGGACCTTTACAGTCTGCTTGCCTTCCTGCGAGGAGATTGAGGACAGGTTGTTGCTGGTGAGCTTGAGGCTCTCCGTGCTGTGAGGCATCTTAGGATTAAAAGTAGATAATTGGTACAGGCGAGTAATTCAGGAGGCGATCGATGAGATGGTGAGAGCGAATTATGAGAGAAAGGGGGGAGTGAGCTTGAGGTTGAAAGTTGAAGTGATTAAGAACACACCGCTGTCTCCTGAGTCCTGACCGCAAGTTTTTAATGAGAGAGCGACAGACAGTCTGATTTTTGATAAACTGGGCCCGGTGACGTTTCTGGACTGGTCCGGCCTGATAAACCGGGATTAGAGGTGGAGCTACCAAAGCACACCTTGCCACTATCACTGACCTCAACATTTTGGGCAACCTGGAGAAACGAGACATCTGTGGCTTGAATGCTCAGAAGTCTATGGAAACCAATCAAAAGGCACGGGGTGGTGGAATTGAGTCGAAACATTCCAACCTCAGCCTTGGTTAAAGCTGTCTTCCTAGGCTGAAAAGCAACTCCAAGAGGCAAACATCAACGCATAACGGAAGGAAATCCGCCATCTCTCAAAGACTCACCTACCTAAATTTAGCACACAAGCTCTAGTCCTCCAAAACCCTTGTTATACCCGAGCTATTGGCAGCTTGGCCCTGCAATTCAGGGTCCCTCTCGTATTGTCACCAACGCAACAGAGCTCGTGGCTGGAATTCCAATTTTAACTTGCCTCATGTGACCGTTTATTGAGAGACATTGGCAGTTCTAGAGCTTCTCCAACTCATCTTGGGGCAATTGCCTTTCTCCGCCTGCACGCCAGGGTAACGATGTTGGGGAAGCTTGTGGAGAAAACCCCCTTATTCATCGGGCCCCGGCTGGGCACCACTGGGCCGAAAAGCTGGAGCACGCCCCTGAGAAAAAACAAAAAATCTACGGATCCAAGGTGGCGGTGCTTTATGATCCCGACACCGGTGCCGCGAGTCATGGGTGTTCGCGGATGAACTGGACTTTCTACGAACACCTACGTGTTGCGGCCATGTGATGAGCATCCTCAAAAGCTCATAATCCCATTCGAAACATCATTATTTCCAGTCTTGTCAACTGGGAATGCCTGTATCATTAGTCATCAGGCCCCGGATTCTTCTCACCCCTCATTTATACCACTGTCTCTGATGACTGGCGCGGTCTGAAAAGGTCAAACATGAAGTGTTGCAGCAGAGTTGAGAACTATGCTTTCTCAACATTCGACATGGCACGTGAGCTATTCTAATAGAGTCCTGCAAAGCCCCACGCCTCGGATTATGCTCTGCCCGCAGACGGGTGGAATGAGTGAGATGTGGTCTGTGGGTGGCTCTTGTGTAACATTTGCCCTAAGTTACCTCTAGCACTGATGATCATGATGAGAAGTCCTCCATGGGAAGACTACCTGCCAAACAGCGACAACGCACAAAGCCAAGTGGCTTTCCAATTCCGAACGTGCCTTCCGATTTCCTCTTTGGACCATCCAGATCTCCTCTTGGGAGATCATTCAAAACTTCAGGCCAAAGAACAAGTAGGCCAACAAAGCCAATGCAGTTGCCCAACCCATCGTCGCGATGACAAGATGTGGACGGTAGGAGAGAGTCTCCAAAAGGTGTAGGTGGTAGCGGATGATGCTGACCGAGGCTACAATGAAGCCCATTGCCCTGGCTACGAACTTGATAATCTCGATGCGCAGCTCGCGAGGGTTGAGGACAGTGATGTTGATGTCGCTCGAATCGCTCTGTGTAAGCAAAGCTCTCGACTGCGCTTGGCGTTGATGCTCTTGCACCTCTCGATGACCTAGTAGCTCCTGATTGACCTGGCTCAGCTAGTCCTCCTCGTCAGTAAGGAACTCCTCGCCACTGACCTCGTTATTGAGTTGTTGCGTACGATCCCTGATGCTATTGAACCGCTCGATCAGTTCGTTGTAATGCAGCTCCATTGCCAACGAGGCCTTTACGTCGTCAAGAAGAATTTCTTCATGTGAAAGGCCAAGGGGCTGGAATCGAGTGAAAAAGCCCCCAGCGTAAGTCAGTCGGCGCAGCGGAAAGATCTCGCCGATGGTCTTAATGGCGTTTCGGCGCTCTTGAGTGATGATGACAGGATTCTCCGCAATTCTGGCCCTCATTCTGGTAATGATGCGGGCGCACTTGATCACGATAGGGTTTCGCCCAGAATCTGCAGGAGCAATTGCTTCGAGGATACGAGGATCGAGGACGACGTCGGCGAAACTATCCGCAGAGATGTCGGAAGCAGCCTCATCGATGTCAGAATCATCAAAGACAGCGTTGTTGAGGCCATTCTCAGAATCTTCCGAATCAGACTCTGTAAGGACAGGAGAGCCGAGGAAGGGGTTGATGGGGTTAGACGCAGCGGCATTGTCGGTTACGTAGTTTGAGTGATTGAGAGGAAGAGGAGGCAGGTTTCTCAGCTGCTCGGGAGTGGCGTAAAGGGTCGTAGCCCACTGCGCAGAAGTCTCGCTTTCAGAGCCATCATCGGAGTCATCATCGTGTTGGTCAGGAAGATCAGCTTCATAGAGACGCCGTCCTTGCATCTGTGAGAGTGAAGTGAGTAGAAATGGTCTTTTTCTCTTTTTCCTTGAGCAGACTTCACACTGTTCCTCTCGGGATGCAGCGAGGTAATACAAAGATGAGTGTAAGGAAGAGCATACCTGACGGACTCTGCGTCTACGTCTTGCGGCGCTGCGGCTGCTGCGGAAAGGCACCTGAGGGCCTTCACGATCAGAGGCAGAATCCAAGCCAGAGTCTGAAGTAAAGTCAGACATGGCTTCGATTCGGCCTGAATGTGACTTTGGGTGATTCTTTGTGATTCCCAACTACCAAAGAATGAGAGAAATATAGAAAATGGCCCTCTGCTTTGTGATATGGGAGTAAGAAAAGCGTGTTGAGATCGGGTGGGTGGGTTGAGGGAAGAAGGTGAAAGGTGAAAAGTGAGAGATGGGCAAAGACCAATCGGCCTAGGTGCAGGTGCGGAAGGGACACGCCTACCTCTGTATCTTTTTGTTTATGTTTGACCCCCCAGTCGTTCCAATCCTGTCTGCGACGGAACACTCACAATCCTCTTCCGGCACTTATTCAAGATGACCAAAATTGGGTGAAGCCAAGGTGGATGTAGCCAGCGCTGTCCCTACACCTTAAGTAATTCATTGCGCACTCAAAAGAAAGAGATTCACCTTCTCACACCAAAGGTCACATTCCATTTTAATTGATAGATGAGAACACTGATACAACTGATTGCAGGATGACTTATGAAAGCTACTGGATCAAGAGCTGCCAAGCATTCCTTGCGATTCCTGAGCCTAGAGTCCACCCCGTTGTCTCCCAGGCTGTTCGCCCAGACTCCGTCATTCTCCTCATCCACATCCCACTACCCTGATAACTTGAAGTGACTTTGAGGGCAGCTTTGATGGAACCCTTTGGAGTACTGACTAACCACCCTCGGCAGATTTCTTCTGCTCCTGAGCCTGCATCTGTCTGGCTTTGGCTCGTTTGGACTCTGTCAGTGCCTCCTCCATTTTCTGCACCACATTCCACCCTTCCTGGCAATCTTTGATCCCGCGTTCAACACGAGCCTGTGATCTCTTCATGCACTCGATCTCGAAGATAGAGAAAAATTCTCCATTCGTTGTCTGGCTGACTTGTGCCTTCTTCTTGCCCTTGTCGGACTCGGAGCAACCATCGACCTTGTTGTTGTTCTGCGTCTTCGTTGAGCCTGTGGCACTCTCGGGCTGTGTCTTCTTAGCTTCTTCCCGATTATCCGCAGCACCATCTCTCTTGTTGGTCTTTGCAATCTTTTTCTTGCTCTTGGGGATTGCGTGCTGTTTGATATTGTCTCTTGTGTTATTCTTGGCAGTCTCGGAATGGTTGTCAATCTTCTCCTTTGCCTTTTCCTTATTGCTCCCAGAGATTCCCGACTCTCTGATGATCGCTCCAGCATTGCTCATAATAGACTCAGAATCTCTCTCAGCCTTCTTCTTTGCCATGGCCGTTGTGATTGGGGGGACTGCCGGCTGGTCAATGTTGACCCCTGGTTTGTTCCCGGCAATCTCACTGGCCTTGCCAGCCTTCTTCTTCTTTGACTCCTTCTTCTTCTTGCTCTTGGAAACCACCAGATGGTTGGGGTTGGCCCCAGCATTACTCTCGGCGGACCCTGAAGTTTTGCTGATCTTGTCTTCCGTCTGATTCTGCTCGTTCTTCTCCTCTGAACCCTTGAAGGCCATGGAATCTCGATTCTCGGCGTTCTCGTTGTCATTCTTCACGTTGGCCGGCTTTCTAGTCTTTGTCCTTTTCTTCTTTTCCTTCACGTTCTGGCCGTTCTTTGTGTTTCTGATGGCCCCAGCGTCATACTTGGTACGCAGCTCCGTCACCATAAGTATACTCTCGAGCAACTTTTGCTGTTGAAGAAGCATAACCACCAGGTAAACAATTGACTTGCTCAGCCTAGGTGGAACTCTCATGACGAGGTCGAGGAGATTGGTGGGATCTTGATCGTACTCAGACATGAGTTCTTTGAGCATCTTGATATTCTCCAGTAGGGCTGGGTCATTGTACTATCACAGTCATTTAGATCAGTCAGTGGCTTATCGTTGAGACGGCACTGGCAAATGATAAACAGACTGCTGAGGATACTCACCTCTATGGCGTAGTAGCTGGTGTCGGGAGGTATGTGAGGACCCCAAGCCCTCGCGATCTCGACAAATGATGGATATTTGTTGCCAGGAGCGTTGGGGGACAACTCCTTATTCAATGGCTCCTTCAGAGGTGCGGGATCCGGTTGACCGCTCATGATGGGCGAGCTTTCCGCCAGAAAATGGCCGGGTAACGTGATCTTCCAATATCGCTCTCGAGATCCAAGACCACTAAGTACGTGTATGGTTTGGTGATGCAATCAGAATTCCCCAGAAGTGTTCGGGGTGGTAATGAAATAAAGGGTCAAGAAGCTGAGTTGGTGTAGAAGAAAAGGTGAGGCAGGCTCTGAAGGCTGTGAAGACGCGAGCAATTGTGATGGGTCCTAAGGCAGAACAACAAACCACCAGGTGAGTTTTCAAAACGATATGGGATCGCAGCAAACGGCAAGAGCGACCGGTCTGCCGGGGATGGGATGACCGGAAAAATAAAGGCATGCAATTCCAAGGTGATATCTTTGCTGAATGCAACATAAATGCTTTTCGATCTTAGATAAATGATTTTCATTGCAACTCGTCCATCATGACGTATCTTGAACCAATGAACCTTTCCTAGATAACCCCACTCTCACTGTCACTCTTCATCCAATTCAGGGTAGTGACGGTAAATACCCTGGGAGTATTTTTGTCTACGATCGCTTGCAAGGTATTCTTTGATCTTGGGCCGCTCCTTGACGGCATCATAGAGCGCAAAGAGACCCTTGTAGTCGCCAGTGCCCTCGATCCGCTTCAGTGCATTGGGGAACGCGTATTTCAGACCATCGACACACTGCTAGAGTTACCATCTACAGGACCATAGCGCTTATGAAAAGGGATATCTTACCTGAAAGAGTACCAAGTCAGCGTATGTCAGAGACCCACCATAGAGCCAAGGACCTTCGCCGCTGGCCTTGCTCTTGAGCACCCGCTCAAAGTACCCAAAGAACTTGGGCAACCGATTGGCAATGTAGTCCTTTGCCTTGAGTTTACTCTCCTCCTTCTGGTCCTCGTAATACAGCCCCGTTGCGATGGGGTGGTGCGTGTCGTGTGCCTCGTTGCTAAGTCCGTCCAGCGCAGTCAGCGCGAGGCCGTTGATGATGTAGATGCCGTCATCATCTTCTGAGATCTTGGGTGCGAGGCCTAGGCGCGGTCCTAGGTAGAGCAAAATGTTGGGCGTCTGGCTAATGAGGAGGTCTCCGTGCTTGAGGATGGGGGGCGCCAAGGGAGGCGGGTTGTGCTCATCGCCCAGGTTCTTGTCATCGATCTGGGCCAGGACAGTCTTGACGCCGTCTTCGATCTGTGCGGTATCGGTGTACTCGGCACCGGCCTCCTCGAGGAGAAGACGGACGTGTTCGCCACGGCCTGGAAGGCCTGGCCAGTAGATGAGTTCGTAGGAGACGTCCTTGGAGGACTTTTGACGCTTTGCGCTTGGGGTTTCGGCCATTGCTTCGGTGTATGGGGTGTCGATGAGACGGAATGAGCTGAGGGAAAGTCAATTGAGGCTTTGAGGAGGGCATAAACATATGATATGGATGTGGCGGTGAGGAGGTGTGTGTGAGTTGAAGGTTACATATGAAGTCTGAACGACGGGCGGCTCAGCATGAAGTCATAGGGCGTGGTCGAACCATTCCGCCGCAAGGGGCCGCGGCGGGGTAGCGGGGTCCTTGCAGCCGATGGCGGGGCACGGCGCCCTTGATCCCCGCTCCGTATCACCCGCGGATTGCTGCAGCTCAGCTGTGTCTTCCTCATCCACGGGATAACTAGGCTGAGAGTTTGCCTATCAGAGAAGATTAGGTGCGAGTTCAGTTTCTTACGATGTCTGGGCAGAGTAAATTTCAATTCGTTCCAGTCAGTTGACTTCATTTTGATGGGAAGAGTATCTGACTTCGCGGCCCGTACCCCAGATCCACGACACGACGTGACATGGTAGAGTTTACTCCTGCATCCGAATTCCGCGCCGGACCAAACACCTTGGCTTCCGAGAAGAACACTACATGTGTGTCAGCTCAGCTTGAATCTAGCACTGAAGTCTCCATACGGTCAGTCATCGTCCCACGTAAGCAGGCTGAAATATGCAGCCTGTCGGGCCTAATCTGCTTCCGCGAGAGGTCCCGAAGCCGGTTGGGTCAGCTTGTGCCCCTCCTTCACCCTTTCACGGACCTGACTTGGTTCCACACTGGTTGGCGAAAACGAGGCTCACAGTACCACTTGAATTGTTCCAAGGATCCATGATATTCTCCATGCTCTTTTCTATGCTAGCGATACGATGTACAACTATCCATTGAGCTTTATTAAGCATCGATGACCGCTGGGGACCATTAGGAAATGCAGCGCTGGCTCCATATCCTTGTCGCACATCCCTTCGATATCAGACACAATTGCTTTCGGGAAAGCTTTGAAAAATCTGGCAGTGATGAGCCGGAGCTCTATGCGAGCCAAATGCCTTCCTAAGCAAGCTGATCCTCGCTGTCAGCAAACGTTGTCTCAACGGCAAGAGGTGCCGTTGTTCGGAATAGTGCTTACTTCGGGCGCCACCGCCAAACGGCATGGTGCAATCCTTCATCTCCTGCGTGGTATTCTCCCACCTCTCGGGATAGAATCGATAGGGGTCGGGGAACGCATGTTCGTCCCGGTGAAGACTGTACGCCTGCGTCGTAACGGTGAATCCTTCGGGAATAAAATGCCCCGAGAGCTCCGCGCCGCCAGGAGGCACTAGCCTCGGGAGCCCACACGGTAGGGCCGTGTAAAGCCGTAGCGTCTCGTTGACGATCCAGTTCACATATGTGAGCTCTTTTAATTGATCATAGGTATAGTTGTCCGGGAGTGCGTCCAGCTCCTTCATGAGCTTGGCCTTAATCTCGGGAATCTTGCACACCGCCCAGACGAGGTAGATCATCGAGTTGGCGGTCGTGTCGCTGCCACCGACGATGAAGACCTGCGCGTTGTCGCGGATCTCGATCGGGTTCCAGGTCTCTTCCTCGCCAGCATTGTAGAGCTTGGAAAAGACTGTCGGGTGAGGGTCTGAGCCGGTCTCTTCGACGCGCTTGGCGTGACGGTCTAGGGCGCCTTGGGCGTAGTCAAAGGTGCGGTATTGGATCGCGGTGGCCTCTTTGAAGACTGGGATCGGGAGGTAGAGGGAGATTTGGGCGATTGTGGGGAACATCGACCTTAGTCCGCCAACGAAACCAAGGCTGACGAAGTCATTGACAGATCGGTTTTTCTACTCAGAACCATGAGTGTTAGTAGAGACCCGAATGTTTCGTCAAGATCTCGAAAGGAGGAGGCCACATACTTTGCCGCTTTCCAAGTTGCCAAAGGACTCGCCAAAGGCTAGATCACCGATAACATCAAACGAGAGGAACATGAACCATTTGGCGATGTCGGCTGCACCTCGAATCTTGTTCTCATCACGAATACGCTCAATGGCTAAGCGAACTTTACTGTCGATGCGAGGGAGGAACGTCTTCAAGCCCGTCTCTGACATGGGGTTTGACAGCAGGCGCTTGTACTTGCGATGGATCTCTGGACGTATCTCGTTAAATACGCTAGAGGAATCCGTGATCAGGAGTGAGTAGAATGGCGACTTGAAGAATCCAGTTTTGACACTATGAATTCGCTGACATGTTTGTGGATCAGAGATGTCGACCTCGAATGGACTGTACCGCACCACCGGCCCATACTTGGCGTGTAAATCGTGGATCCAATCAGGGTGGTGTGCGGTGATGACCTTGAAGGTCGATGGCAGTGTTGTGAACCTGGTATACCATGGCCCAGGAATATTCGACAACGGGTTTGTGAGCCCGGCATAAATGTACTGTCAAGCTATCTGTCAGTCGCAAGAAAAGTCAGAAGCCCTGAGAATTGAAAACATACCGCGGCTAGGGCAACGCATACGAGCGCACCGCCGAGGTAAAGAGGATTCGTCTTCAAGATATCCATATTGCTGAAAATGACAAGAGTACTTGAACAACACGAACTACTCACGGGTTTGCGTGAACACAATACACATCAGCTTTATACGACCAGCCATCAGAAGTTTGCTGACTCTGCCAACGATCGTCGGAATCCCCCAACTCGACCGGCCAGCGATATTGGTCAGCCGTAGCTGATCGTATACGGTGTTTGAAACCATACTGACGCGCGATGCGTGTTCTACGGTTGCTTTGGGAAGCTGTCCTAGCCAGTCAGGTTCGTCTACAAGGAGAAGCTGGGGCCACGGGGGAACAGCTGGAGTCGTCCGGTCTACAAAGTTTGGAGCTCAGACATGGAGTCCGTCGGCACCCGTTCAGGATGCGATGGGTTTGTATAATCAAAAGCATCATCGCGATGATAGCTTGAAGGAGTAGGTAGTTCAAGAGTTGGGACAATTACAGTATCCTGTGAGATCCTCCTTATGCCATGGCAGAAGTGGAGAAAGCCAAAGTCCGTCACATCGGGTCTCGGACGATGGATGTTGAAGCAGAGTCGGGTTTCCAGTTTGGTCCGTGTCGCGACATCCCGAGCAAGCCGCAGAGCCGCGAAAAGTAAACGGTTGATCTGTAGTTGCTTAGTTCCGATCATTCCATCTTCTGTGTTCAAGTTACTTTTGAAAAAAGCGTGTATTGCGTCACTGTTGGACTTGGGAGGTGAGAAAATAGGGTGTAGATTTTGGAGAGACGCCCGGTGCTCAGTGCTTTTAGACTCAGAGATCCCCAAAGTATCCCACCTTGCCCCCGAAGCACAGACTTCCCTTGTCATTGTTTCTGACAAGGCAGAAATCTCGGGTAATATTCCCGAACAGAGTCATCGCCCAAAAAGGCTTTCCTTCACAACAAAGGCCGAGCCCTTTTCCAAGTTGGATCTTCCGCGGATTTTGATTATGTATTACTCAGCCTAAGAGAAACCTTCATCTTTCGAATCGGAAAGAGTATCTGTGTCCTGGATTTATCTGTGTTAAGGCTCAAAGGTAAAATTGGGTAGACAGGAAATCGTAGGCGTCGTTACTCGGCTCCGCCTCGAGATGTTGAGAAATCAGGCTGTCGCTCGTAGATTTACAGGATATGCAACCAAGACTTAAGCCACGTGGATAACGGCACCATTCTCTCCCTCCTTTCCTCTCTCCCCTTTCTCGTTGGCATCTGTTACCGCCGGACTAGGTACGAGATCTTCGGCCTTCGGATACGCAATCTTGTACACGGTGTACCAAGGCCGGTTGAATAGGTTCTCCATGGACTCTAGAGACCTTCCAGAAGTTTCCGGCATGGCAAGATAAACGTAAACAAGCGAAACAGAACAGATGCTCGCGAAGAATATGAACGCACCATAACGTTCGGTGGCGGCCAGAAGAGATGGCATAGCTCGCGAGCAGCCAAAGTAAAAGGCCCAATGAAAAGCCATGACAACAGATACGCACAGTGATCTAATTCTGATGGGGAAAACTTCCGCGCTGACGAGGTATGGGATGGAAAACCATCCTATGGACCATGCGATGGCATGCAAGTAAATGGCCGCGACGGCAGCTTCGCTTGCTCGCCTCGCTGTCGGGTCTGCCGAAATGTTTTCGGGGTCACGTCCATTAGTGACTTTGAGATAGATACCGACGAAGAGAAGCGTGGTGATTTGAAGGCAGATTCCAGTCAGAAGGGAACGCCTTCTGCCGATGACATCGATAACGAAGACCGAGAAAATCAAGACTGATATAAACTTGACAATGGCATAGACTCCGGTAGCAAGTAGACGACCCTCTTCGCCCTGGATACCTAGATATCCAAATATGGTCGGACTATACTGCGTGCTGGAATTTGATGGGGCATAGGTTAGAGGGGCATCCTTGCCGGAGGGTCGCTGGACTTACATGGCATTCGCTCCGCTCCATTGGGAAAACAAATGCGCTAGAAACATCAATATAAATCGCCGTCTGTTTGGGAGATCGGTCCACGTCTCTTTGGCGAGATCAACAACTGAAGCGCCTGACACAATTTCCAATTTGTGTTCCAACTGGGCTTGCATCGCACGAAACTCGTCATCAACGTACGGATGATCGGCTGGAAGAAGTCGAAAGTCGCAAAGAACTTTGAGGGCTTCTGAGGGTTTCCCACGAGACAGCAGAAAACGGGGAGATTCTGGCGTGAAAAGTGTTCCCAAGCCCCAGATGATCGCCGGCGCAACCTGAAGTGCAGTTGGTAATTGCCACTGGATTTGGTTCCCTGCGTAATGTTTTGTGACGCCATAATTAAAGAAGAAGCCAAATACAACGCCGAGTTGTTGACAACATGTGTACTGCAAAGTCAAAAGACCACGGATCGATCGCGGCGCAATCTATAATGCGAGTCAGTTCATGTGGTCATCGTTCTTCATGAAGTTGTCGTCCTTGCCTCGGAGATATAAACTGGAGGCAGTACAGTTGTCGCGCCAATCCCCATACCAGAGACGATTCTGGAGATATAGAGTCCCGCCATACTACCAGAAGAGAAGGTTTGACCGAGAATACCGGCAACATAAATCAATGTAAAGATCTGCATCGTTCGCGTGCGGCCCAACTTGTCAGTAAGGTTTACACAGGCCAAACAACCAAAGACAGCTCCAGCCGTTGCGATAGCCACGATCCAGCCTTTAGTATTTGAGTACTCGCTCTCAGATTGGCCATCGATTCCAAATCTGGTTTTAAAGACCGCCATCGTGACTAAAGATGCAATATTGCCTGTGAAAAGAAAGCCATTAGCTAGCATTCTTTTAGAATAAATATGGACAAAGTGTGCAATTTACCCTCGTCGAATCCTTTCGCCACTCCTGAGAAGCTCCATATCCAGGTGCATATGAACAGATAGCGATTGAAAATCTCTTTGGGACTGTCCCGTATGGCGGCAGTTGTGGCCTTGATGAGAGACATTGTGAGCTCGTAGTAGAATTTCACCCCCGCGAGGATTGATAGCTAATGGCCTGTCAGTTTGGAAATGCTGGCAAGGACGGTCATGATAGGAATAATATTTACTCTTGCCCACGGCATGCTCCCTTCGTCTACCCCGGACCCCGTAAGCTGCTAGACCCCAGAGTTCGGGGAGGTCGCGCGGACAGCAGTGGAGCACTAACGTAACAGTTCGAGATACGACTCGGACACGCGCCGAAAGCTAGGCCCGGGCTCAGTCCGACGACGCCAGGATCACCGGATGATTTCCGCCCAGGCCGATCGCATGCTCGCATTAACCTCATGAAGTAGTAGTGAGAAAAGTGGTCATCAAAGCTGGCCTCTCGCAAAGTTGGGTTGTTTTCTCGACCATTTATAACATCTTGTCGACACTGCGTATCACCACAATCAAATGTTCTTTTACGTTGCACGCAATGAACTTTTATCCAGTGCCCCCGATCATACAAGCCGAACTCTACGTTCGGATTCCAGACGACCTTCGTTGCATTGACAAGGATACCGAGTGGCGAGGTGGCTTTGCATGCCAATTTCAGCACATATTCCTTGAGGGCCCAGTTGTCGATGACAATGGCAACCTCTACATAGTGGATGTCCCCTACGGCCGCATCCTCAAGATTAACCCAAAGAAAAATATAACGATTGTTGCAGAATGGGACGGTGAGCCTAATGGGCTTGCGGCAACTGAAAATGGCCGATTAATCATTGCCGACTACAAGCAGGTTCGTAGATACAAACCACGATTGCCCCGTAGTGTCTCGGCCTCACCGAAGTGATTTTGTTCAGGGAATACTCTCCTTCAATCCGATTGATCGGACTGTCAAACCATTGATCACCCGGCGTCACTTGGAACGATTCAAGGGCCCAAATGACTTGATTGTCGATTCGAAAGGAAGCATCTACTTCACCGATCAAGGCCAAACTGGTATGACAGACCCAACTGGTAAAGTCTACCGCCTCTTGCCTGACGGGAAGCTGGAGACACTTGTAGAGAATGGAGTGTCCCCAAATGGACTGGTCCTCTCACTTGATGAAAAGTTCTTATTCGTCGCAATGACGAGGTCCAACCAGGTCTGGAGGCTTCCTCTACACCCCGATGGCACAACAACCAAAGCTGGCGTCTTTTTTCAGTCGTTCGGAAACGCTGGTCCAGACGGCCTGGCGATGGATGAAGAAGGCAGTCTTTTCATTTGTCATCCAAGTTTAGGGTCCATATTTGTGGTAGATTCCGATGGGATCCCCAAGACACGCATCGTGAGTGGGACATCTGGCATTAACTTGACGAACTGCTGTTTTGGTGGACCAGAAAACAAGACCATCTTTATCACAGATAGCTTGGAGGGGAATATTCAAAAGCTCGACTGGCATTGTCGAGGCGCACGACCGCCGCCAAGGCTCAAGCGATAGTAGATCTGCCATTGATAATAAACTCTTTGTGTTCGTTTACCAGTATCATTAGCGTTTTGTTGCAGAAAAGAAAGTCGCTTGAGAAGGCGGAGTCGGTAAGATTCGGATGTCCGCGAAACGCAACTCGCACGGGGTGATTCCGATCCATGACAGGGAGGGGTCAACCCCACCATGCAACTGTGATCAAAGTAGTCGAGCTGAGCCGATTTCGCCATCTTCAAACCCATCGCCGGAGCCACTCCGAAAACCGTGTCGCTAACAATATCAAACGCTTAGCACAAGGGTCACACCAGCTGCGAGCTACGCATCAGTCTTAGAGTGCATTCCTAGACTTTACGGTTCTGTTTGAAGAATGAGCTCTGCAGCAGATCGACTACCCCGACTCCCAGCCTGCCAGTTATGTTACCAGAAGAAAATCAAAGTATATGCCGCTATCGACTTCAAGACCGTAGGCGGGAGGCTAATATGGCTTTGCCAAGTGCGACAGTATCAGGCCAACATGTACTCCGTGCTCGAAAACTGGCAGCGACTGCGTTGTACTCAATTCTGGTGGTGAAAGCACACTCTCACGAGCGTAGGCGTTGACATACCTCGCTGTATCTGAATGCTAGTGACATAAAAGGCTGACGAA